TGACTAAGTTTTAAAGGAGATTTGGAGGGCAAAGACCTTTAGCAGATCAGGTTTCAAGGGCAGGCCAGCAGTCTAGCAGTCTTGCAGTCTGTTCCCCAGGCCCTGAATTTATCAGACTCTTAAGTTTTGTGGCTTAGGGTTCAAAGTTTAAACTAAGAACCGCGGCGGAGGCCCAAAAATGAAGCGCCACTGACCGACCGGCAAGCCAGTGCGCTGTGTTGGAAGCACTCACTGGAAACCAGCATGTGAAGATGTCAGAGATGGATGGGGGGAAGGGGAGGGTGGAAGGGGAGGGTCTAGGGTTATAAACATTAGGCTTTAAGCCTGAAGCCCTAAAGCCCAATCAGGTAGTCCCTCCGCCCTAAACCAACCCAAAAACCAGAACTGTGGACCACCCTAAACCCTAAACCCTACACCCTAAACCCCAAACCCTACTAAGCTACCAGCCCCACGGCCTGGCAGGCTGAGTGGGGCGTGTCATCACCTTCCTCCAGGTGCACTTCGGGTTTAGGGTTTAGGGTTTAGGGTTAGGGTTTAGGGCTTAGGGTTTAGGGTTTAGGGCTTAGGGCTTAGGGTTTAGGGTTTAGGTTTAGGGGTTTAAGGCTTTAGTAGTAAAGTAGTATTCTTAGGGTTTAGCTTCCTAGGCTAGCGGGGAGGGAACCCAAAACCCTAAACCCTAAGCCCTTAGCCCTAAACCTTAAACCTGAAGCCCGAAGCCCCGAACCCTAAACCCTAAACCCTAACCCCAAACCCTAAACCCTAAACTCTAAACCCTAAACCCAAAACTCTAAGCTCTAAACCCTAAAGCCTAAACCCTAAACCCTAAACCCTAAACCCTAAACCCTAAAACCTAAACCTAAACCGTAACCCTGGACCCTAAACCCTAAGCTGGCAGCCCTAATCCCTTATACAGTCTCAGGTTTAAGGTTTCAGCACTTGGGGTAGTGGGCAAAAGGGATGACAGTATAGTCAACATCCAATAAAGTTGTACTGGTTAGTTTGAGGTGTTGGGTTTAGTCTTTGGGCTTATCGGCCTTGGCTTGGAGCCCAAAGCCTACAGGCCAAACCTTAAGCCCAACCCCTATTGCCCAGACTCCTAGACGGCAGCAGTCTTGGTACTCCAATAAAAGCGGCTTCAAGCTGCAACCTTAAATCCTAACCCTAAACCCCAAAGTTCCAAAATGTAGCAGCTCACCGTCATGCTGCTTCAGGTGACAGTCCAGCAGTCCCTCTGTCCGCCCTGGTGCAGTCTGTGCCTGTGCCTCACAAGCCAGACTGGGGTTCAGGGCCATGTAAGGCTTAAGACCGTGGGGCTGAGGGACTGGGAGACTGTACACTTGGCTTCTTTGCAGTTTTCTTGGACTGGCGTAGGCATGCCAGACTCTGGTCCAGGGTTGTGGGACTGAGGGTTTTTCAGACTGCAGACTTGCACTTGAGGTATTGTTTTGGGCAGTTCCCTGTTGTCCCTTTGCCCCTAGGCCCGTACCTACCTAGTAGCTGATAGGGTTTAAGGCTTAGGGTTTGGATGGCAGTTCTGCAGTCCTGCAGTCCTGCAGTCCCACTGTGGCACAGTCAAAAAGCTGGCTGTGGGTTGCATCTGGACCAGTGGCCAGTGCATGTGCGCCAATGGCGGCTACTACACCAAGACGAGCCACAAGAGGATATTTGACATGGGACTGGTTACCCACAAGCTGGCCGTCCCCAGCTTTGTCAAAGCTGCCAAAACACAGTCCACAGTCCAACAGTCCGGCGATGCATAAATCCCTAAACCTAAGCCCCCAACCCTAAACCCCTGAACCCTAAACCCCTGAACCCTAAACCAGACACCCCAAACCCTACCTCTGAACCCTAAATCCCTGAACCCTAAACCAAACACCCAAGACCCTGCCTCTGATGCTGTTTAACCCAGACTGTTCTATTTCTTTACAGGGCACCAAGCCTCTACTCATTATTTCAAGCCTTGCAGCCAGTTGTTTTAACCCAGGGTGAAGCTCATTTCAGGGGCAGAAGAGACTAAGTGTATTGAGGGATGTAGAACCTTTGGTTTCAAATTAACATCAGGCTTTCAGCGCTGGGGAGGGTTAGGGGTTAGGGTAGCAGGGTTTTGGGTTCAGAGGTTGGGGGTTTGCAGCCCCAGAAAGACAACCCCAAAGACTGCACCCCAAATGCTAATCTCTGAATCATAGATTCAAAAAAAGACCCTAAACCCAAGACCCTATACCGTTCAACCCTAAACCCACGCCTGACCCTTCCTCTGTCTCCTCAGGTGGTCCAACAGTTCCGCAGTCTCCCAGTCTGTGCCTCAGAGGGTTGAGGGCTTGGGATTTCAAGCAGTCCTGCAGTCTTGCAGCCACACCACATTGCAGCTACTTGCTCAGTCGAATGCTGAAGCTTCAAGGCCCAAACTAATTAGGAATTACTTGCATCCTGCCCTCCCAGAGCTTGCAGTTGGGCCAGGGCCCTGGCACAGCGCCAGCGCAGCTGTAGAAAGGGTGTTGCTTTCCTTCCAGTTGATTCGAATGGTTGAAGAGGGTCCAGGCAGGGCCTAGCTCTTGAGGGGGGGGAAGGGAGAGTTGGACTGAGGGACTGTGCAGACTGTCTCCATGTCATGCTTCAGGGCGACTGACTGCGCAGACTGTCTTCATTTCAGGCTTTAGGGCTCTGTTGCAGAAAAGTGCCCCAACCTGAAATGCCTTCTCTGAAAACCAGTGCAAGAGTCCAAGCCTGTGGTTCTGAGAATTGCTGGACCCCCTAACACCCTAAGGGGCTAAGGGAAAATGTTGCGCTTTAAAGCGCCTTGCATTGTGTGGAGGCCAACAGGGGGACACTGGCTGGTGGAGACAAACTTCAAGGCCAGTTTCTGCTGCCTTTGGGGTTGAAGACATTTCAGGCCAGCTATTGTTGAGGGTCAATCAGTACCAAGGGGCACCTCAGGGCACCTCCCCTTTCCCGGAACCCTCTCTCTCTCTCTCACAGGCGCTCCCGGAACCCTCAAACCGGAACCCTCATCCCTGGTCAGGTCCTGCAGTCCAACTGTCTGCAGTCCAGACTGTGCATCTGGCCGCCAGGTCAGCATTGGTTCAGTTGCTTGACTGCCTGTCCTTGTTTGTTGTTTGTCAGTCAGTGCAAGTGCAGCTAGATGCTGTCCCACTGTAACATCCCAAGTCTACCTGAAGACTGACATGCAACCAGCCTGAATCTTGAGAAATGATGCAAAGCCTGACGCAGAACCCTAAACCCCAACCCTAAACCCAGAGGCCAACAAGACTTGCTGGCCGACACGGACTTCACAGGCCAATATTAGCATTGACATTCAAATTGAATGGCTTCAAGTCCAAGAACATACTTTGAGCTTCTTTCAGGCTCAGGGTATTAGGGTTGACGTTCAAGTTGGCTTCAAGCCAAAGGACATACTTTGAATTGCCAGCTGCTGACAGGAATCAGTAACAATGACACCCCAACCCTTAAGGGGCAGAAGCCTGCTTTGCCTTGCCTGGACCCTAAACCGCCCTAAAGATTCTGGGCAGGTCCAGCAGTCCAGCAGTCCAGCAGTCCAGACGCCGCATTGCAGCTGTGTCTGCACTACATGACTGCATGACTGTCTGACTGTGAGAGTTCATCAGTTTGTCATTGAGCATTGGTGCATTGGTTCACTTCAGCTCTCATGAGGTGCCTCTCCCCTCCCTCTGTCCATGAACAGGAAACAGTTTCTTCTTAGTCCCATCCCACCCCCCCCAGCCCGCCCCATTTATTTTTAATTTTTTCAAACGTTAGGGAATCCCGCTTGATATTCCCGAGGGCTCGTGGCTAAAAGGGGGGTGAGGCTTCTGGAACGTCTAAAGATTTTCCCGAGCCCCCCCCCGCCCCCCCCCCAAACACACGAGGAGGCTGAAACCCCAACATCCAGCTTGCTGGTATTCGGCCCCAAACCAATCTGGAAAACCAAGCAATTTTCCCGAATGCTTTCGTCAAACCGCTGATTTCCAGATGTAAGCCGGCAGATAGAGGCCACCGGCTTTCATATGGAAATCAAGGAAACCCCCCAAACCAATCTGGAAAACCAAGCAATTTCCCCGAATGATTTCGGACCGAACACTGCCATGCAGGGTGTAGGGATTTCAGCCTCCTCGAGGGTGGGGGGGGGGGGGGGGGGGGGGGGGGGGGGGGGGGGGGGGGGGGGGGGTGAGGGGTGGGTGGTGGCGGGTTGGTGGTGGGGGGGTTGGTGGGGTGTTTTTGGTTCCGTTTTTTGGTCCTTGGAAAGTGTGTCATATTCATATGAGGGGAGGGGGGTCATATCCCTGTCAGTTTTTGTTTTCTTGCCTGCCATCTTACATCCAGCTTGTGATATCCAAGGTGGCAATGTTTGGTGGCTGGATGCTGGCTATTCCCAGGCTTCAAGAGCCCAAAGATGCAAGAGGACCAGCTAGAGTTTCGACGCCGCAGTTTGATGCCAGTGGTGATCAGCCTGCAGCTTGCGTGACCCAACGCCGGTTTGCTTCCATGAAGAGACGAACCAGAAAGATGAAGATGCAGCAGGGCCCCCATGAACAAACGACATTTTGTCAAGAAGATCTTGAAGCTCTTCTACTTTGTGGCCAAAAAACGCCTCGTGAGCAGCAATGCTGTTTTTACAATGCAATGTTAGGGCGTGGACTGTCCATGCAGTATGTCACAAGAGCTTGGGCAGCCCATCCCTTAGTGCTAGCACGCAAAGAAGCCAAAGCCAAGAAGAAAGAGATTCTTCGTGTGAAGCGTGAAGAATCGCAGCGCAGTAGGTTGCTGGCAAGGCAGTTGCAGTTGAAGCAGAGGCAAAAGGCCAAGAACTGTGCTTCAAGAGCAGATGGAGCTGAAGACATAGACCAGCAGTGACCAGTCGTGCAAAAAAGGCAGGCACTTTGTTTTGCAAAGTTATCCATTGCAAAGAGTTGCCAGCATGGCCACGGGTTGCCAGCCATTTATGGCGCCCAAACCACGTCCCAAGAAGAGAGCTTGCAGACCTCATGTGGCTAAAGAATGCCCAGCAGAAGATGGTGCTGAGTCAGATCCCTGGACAACCTCTTCAGACCCCTGGGATGGAGCAGGCAGTGATGCTAGTGATCCGTGGGCTGAGGGACTGGGAGACTGTGATGACCCCTGGGCAGACTCACAGTCCTGCAGTCAACAGTCCAAGAAGCGTACTAGAACAGTGGCTTTGGAAGCTGGCTGCAATTTGCTTGGGACAGGTCCAACAAAAAAAATCTTGAACAGCTACGACAGAAATGGCTGTGACCCTGAAAAAGTTCGTCTTCGCTGGCGGGCCGCATGCCCTCGGTCAGGATGCACCTTCCCTGCCTGTGTTGGGCGTGGGTTGGTACTTGACAGCCTGCAGCGTTTGTGTACAGATTTCTGGCACCTTACAGAGGATCAGCGGCTGCAGCTTTTGCTTTCAACATATGGCTGCGACCGTGCCTCAGTCACGCAGACCAACTACATGATCGGTGACCAACAAGTCTGCTTTGCCAATTTTTGCTCCAAGCTTGGCTGTTCCCAGACCGCCATACGGAAGTATATCAAAGGCCAACCAGATATGAGAAAATCCAAGTTCAATGGCACACATGTGGGCGGCCAGTCCAGAGAATGCCATGCCGCTGTGAAGTGTGACCACTTCTTTCGTGAGCTGCGCCAGTCAGTTGCAGAGGCCATGCCAGAGGATGATGAAGCTGTCATGGACGATCCCTGGGACCAGGACTCTTGAGTGCTTCCAATAATTAGTATTTCCATTTCATTGCTGGGTTTCCTGATAAGTTATTTTCTGACTGTTACCTACCCCCAAGTGAAGGACAACCTGTACCAGCACATGTCACCACCAGTCACTGTCTCCTGCCTGGCCAATGCAGGTGGCCTCCAGCGGAGATACATTCAGAAGTGCAAGATTTCAGACCTGTACTGGCAGTTCCAGGCGGAGTGGGCCACTTTATCTGAGGCCCATGAGCAATTTGGAAGAGACATTCCAAGCTATGATACCTTTCGGCGACGGTGGAACTCGCACTGGTGTGGTATGCTGCACATGCGGGAGAAGAGTCAGCATAAGCAGTGCCAGATTTGTTTTGATTTGCAGCTGTGTTTGCACAGTCCTACAGTCCCACTGTCCACCAAGATGGAAGCAGCAAAAACCTTGCGACGGCATCAGGCTGAGCAGTATGAGGACAGGATGTTATACTGGTCACTGCGCTTTGCTTCCCAGGCCCAAAGTCATGGAATGTCTGAAGATCCCCTGCCAGCTTGTGGCTCCAGCTCAGTCCTCACAATCATTATTGATGATATGGACCATAGCAAGTTTGCTTGGCCAAAGTTTCCATTCCGGAAATCACCTGCAGAGATGGAGAACCTCATCCGGCCAACAGTCACCTTCACAGGCGCCATAGCCCATGGCTGGGGCACATACTTATATATGGCCAATCCCAATGTCATGGGTGGTTCAGACTACTTTTGTGAAGTCCTCTGTCAGACCATACAGAATGTTGGCGTGCCTGCAATCCGCCTGACAGTCCACAGTCCGACAGTCCTCCAGTCAGGCGCCGTGTCTTTCCTGCACACTTGGTTGTCATAGCAGACAACACAGTCAAGAGTGCCAAGAACCAGTTTGTGTTGCGATTTCTTTCCTACCTGGTCGGCAAGAAGCTGTTCAAATCTGCAGCACTGTTTCATTTGATGGAAGGGCACACTCATGAGGATATTGATCAGCTGTTTGCTGTGGTCTTTTCCATCATGAAGAAGAAACAATCTTGGCAGACCCCCGAAGAGATTTTGGAGCACATCCGAACAGGCGCCTCAAGAATAAAGATTAGATTGCTTTCTATTTTTTCTAGTTCTTTCCAAGTCCCTGAGCCTGCCGCTGTGTTGCTTGCATGTTGACCCAGGCCTACAGTCCTGCAGTCAAATTCTTCAGCGTGGCGAACTGGTGGCAAGACATGTGACTGGTGTCCGGACTTGGCTTCAGCCCATGAAAGTGGAACTGCACAATGCCTTTAAGGCCCGGTCCCTCAACCAGACGCCAGGGCTGGCACGGGTGGAAGTCCCGCATTGCTATACTTTTGTTGCAGGTGATTCCATGCCAGCAAAGCACAGAGACCTCTTGCCTGAGGGTGTGAACCCTTTTGCAGTCTATGTTTGTGTCAAGATGTATGTGCGAGATTTGCTGTTGAGTCAGCCGCCGCTGCTGATGTGCACGCCAGAGCGGCTGCAAAGAATCTTGGCTGGCAGCCCGCCCATGGTGCATGCCATGGTTCCTTTGACTGATGCACAGATCAAAACTTGGTCTCAGATAGCAGACCTTTGTGCAGGGAAGTATGGTCTTCCAAATGCTGCTCATGCCTTGAACGCCATGATGGTGGAAAGGCGATACCACGTCATTGAGCTCACATTTTTGATGCAGCCACCACGGCATTTCATTGCAGTCCCAGATGGCAATGCACAGCTGCCATGTCTGCCATCCACTTGCTGGAGGCTCATGGCCCGGTTTAAGCGTTGAAATGTCAGCTCCTGCAGTCCTGCAGTCCTGCAGTCCTGCAGTCCTGTGGGCAATGAAGCACGCAAGCATGAAAAAGCAATTCACTTGATTGCTTGCTGCTGACAACTGGATTCACTTGGTTGCTTGCAGCTGACAACTTGCTGTTCTGTCCTGCAGCCTTTTGGTCCTGCAGTCCTGCAGTCCTGCAGTCCTGTGGGCAATGAAGCACGCAAGCATGAAAGAGCTGACAGGCGCCTGCAGGTTTGTGGCCTTTGGGTGGACAGTGCTGGAAGCCATGGAACAAGCTTCCCTGGCGAACCAGCAACGAGACCTAGATGTGGTGGAGATATTCAGTGTCTCTCAGTCTTTGGTAAAGGCAGCCAAAGCCAGAGACCTCTCAGCAGAGAGCTATGACTACATGAACAAGCATCAGTCTGATATCACAACTGAAGTTGGGTTCTTTCAAGCTGTGAAATTGGTCATGCGCCTGAGACTTGGAGCAATTGGTGATAGACAGAGTGTTTGCTGTAGTGATGCAGTGTGTGGGTGGGAGAACATGGCAGACATGATTGAATCTCAGGAAGATTGGGGGGCTGCTATGCCTGGCGCCAGACTGCTCTTCCTTTGGATTTGCTTGTTCCTCACAGTCTGGGAGGAAGCGTTCAAATTTTGGTGGTGACACCAGCCAGGCCTTTGTTCGAAAGGGCAACCTCATGGCGCGAGACTTGCCTGGCAAATTTGAAGCTTCATGCCCCACATGTCTTGTGAATGCAGACAGACAGCCCTGTGCAGCCAGATAAGGACTCTCATTTTGGCTCTACTGCCTGGGCATTTCCAGGGGCCTTCATGTTTGCTTGGAAAACCCAATCAGCTCAATGATTTTCTCCTTCCTCAAGCAGGACATTGCCAGGCTTGCTGCAGCGCTTGGTCGCACTGTGCCATCTATGTATTTCTATGTGTCGCGGTGCGCCTATGTAATGGAAAGGCCAACTTTCAAGAAAGGCTACAAGTTCATGGCTTCAGGAGACTGGTTCAAGCCAGCAGTCCGCAAGTGCTCCTGCACTGGGGTTCATTTGGACCTCATGGAAACACTGGAGCTTCCAGATGGCAGAATTCAGGTCAATGGAACAACTGATCTCAAAGAGAGTGGCTTGTACCCACCTGCTTTGGGGGAGTCAATTGTTTTGGCTTGGCTGGCAAATGGTCAGTCCACAGACCCAGCACTGCTTCGACGACAGCACAGTCTGCCTGCAGTCCCAACAGCCAGAGCAGTCCAAAAGAAGCCTGCAGTCCAACCAGTCCAGGCAGTCCGGACAGTCCAGGCAGTCCAGCCTGACAATGACGATCTGGATGATGATCCCTGGTCGGACTCACAGCCTGTTGAGGTGCCCCAAGCCAAGAAAGCCATGAAGAAGAAGAAGGCCATGAAAGTGATGAAGAAGAAGGCAATGAAAGCGATGAAGAAGAAAGTGAAGCAGACGAAGAAGAAGCCCTCTGTGCGAAAGCCTGCAGCTGCACAGAAGGCGACCCCTGCCCTTGAAGAAGGATTTGACTCAGACCCATGGGCCTAGGGCACTCTTGCATCATTTTCAAGCAATTTAAACTGGATGGCAGCTGCTGTTGCAAAAATTGCTGTGCATGGGTGTAGAGCCTTGCTCCTGTCCTTGTCATGTCTATTTGCTTTGTGCAAGTCTTTGAAGCAGCAAGTTGAGACATTGAGCTTACACTCCACAGTTTGTGGCCCAGTGCATCTATTAGTCTCTAGGCCAGGCCAGGCCCTGTGAAGCCTAGGTGCTGTGAGCCATGTTTGGTGGTTGCATGGCGGATGTGCCGCATCTCAGCCAGGGTTCTGAGAATTCGCAGGACATGGAAATGGAGACTTGCCAGCCTGAGGATGCTGCAGTCTCCAGTCCCACAGTCAGCCTGCCAGCTGGCCCAAGTCCTGCAACAACTCCCTCACCGTTTCCTCGCAAGGCTTTCAGGACCCTTCCCCTGAGGGCCTGAAGAAGCAGGCGCCTGCCAAATGCAAGGAACCAGAGGGTGTGCAGGTTATTGAGGGCAAGCTTACTATGTCAGAGCTTGCATATCTGCGCAAGATAGGGAAGCAGGTCCCAGAGAAGCAAGCAGATGATGATAGAATGTCTGCCAAGGTCACAGTGGACTACTCCAAGGTGAGCCTGAAAGAGGCCAAGGCAAAGACCAAGGCCCTGGCCAAGGCCAAGGCGCAGTCCCTTCAGCCCAAAGCCAAGAAGGTCATGAAGAAGCCAGCTGGCATCATGAAACGCCCGGCTGCCCAGAAGCTAAAGAATCATGACGCCAAGCTCAAGGAGCCACAGCCAAGGGGTGCAATCCCTGCTGACTTGCCAGATGAGGAGGGCATGTTCCATTCTGATGCTGAGACTTTGCTTCTGGGGGGGTTGGATGCTGCGGCTGTGGCAGCTGCACAAAAGGCTGCTCTTCAGGAGGGGAACTCAAGTTCCATGGATCTCCCTGATGGCGACGAGGACGTGGCCAGTCCCGGAGAGGAGGCAGCCCATGAAGACGATCAGGAGAGCAGCGAAGAGCTGGACCAGTGCAGTTGGCCCCAGAAGAAGACCTTTGCAGGACGCAACCAGCCTCCGAACCCCAAGGGCGGCAAGGCGTGGAGGCTGAAGCGCAGGACCTTCTACAGGCGTGTGGATCCTGCTGACTGGGGTGAGTTCAATGAGCGGCTTTTCTGGAGTGTTTGGACGAAGCAAAGGACTGCTGAAGAGGCGCTTCTTGCATTCATGGCTGAGAAGAAGTGAAATTTTGTCAGTCTAGTGCAGTCTTGCAGTCCAGCACAGTCTGGAATTATGACTGCTTTTAGATGATGATTTCCAGCTGACATCTTCCTGAATGTAGCAAAGTTCGCAGCCAAGATGTGTCTTTCCTGTTTGGTTACCGCCCCAAGTCAGCTTTATGAGGCTCCCCGTTTCCAGCAGAGTGCAGAGTCACGGCAGCTTAAATGGGTTCAATGCAGCAGTTGTTGTTTGCATGACATCATGAAAGTGTGACTGTCAGGCATGAGGGCGCATGCCTGGCATGGGTTGGTCCTGAAGCTTTTTGCTGCAAGCTGGTAGCCTGGCAGTCTTGCAGTCACACAGTCTGCCGCTTTTGCCATGGCAGAAGAAGTGTGTCCAAATCAAGCAGGCCTCCATGAACTCTTTCAGCAGACCATGGCCCTTGAGATTGATGTCAAGGATGCCAATGGCCAACCGCAGTTCACGGATGTGTGTGAATGGATGGCATCCAAATTGCAGGATCCGCAGCAAAGGGATGCTCATGGACAGGCTCTTCGTTTGCTGTATCTAGACTGCACCAACTTGTTGGGCTTCCAAGGAAGGGAGACGCAGTACCAGACCTACTACCCGCAGCATGCTGACTACAAGACCTTGGAGGGGGCAAGCCACAGATGCACAGTCTTCAGCCTGCGAGTTTGGCAGCTTGGTGCCCATGAGGTGTCACATATGAAAGGGGCACCGCCCCTCCATGGCATCAGGGACTGCATCCAGAGGATGCTGACAACCACAGGGTGCCAGACGGACAAGTATCCGTTGGAGATCCTTTTTGAGTGGGGCACGCAATGGTGGCAGTCTTCAGCTTCACAGTCCCCACAGTCCCCACAGTCCTCACAGTCCGCGCAGTCCTCACAGTCTTGCAGTCCAAGTCAAAGACCTGGACTTGCCATTGAGGACTTCACTGTGGCCCTGTCCATTGGCTCATCTGTGACCATGGCATGCCATCTGCTCTGCTGGGCAGCCATCAAGCTTCAATGGCTGCAGTCTGGGGACATGATGGCAGCAGAGGTCAAGAAGGATGTGGCTGAGAGGATTCTCAAGTGCATCTGCTTCCAGTCTGCAATGCAGTGAATGAATGTTGTCATGTAACAATTTAAATATGGAAGCTTCAAATTTGAAATCCTGCCCTTCTGCACAGGCTTGATTGGCGTCTGCAACCCCAAGGGCACTGTGGAAGCCCAGTCCCTGGACAGCTTGCGCATCAAGACAGACGCCAGCACAAGGTCCAGGCCATCCATTTGCAACATGCACTTCTTGTGTGCGCCTCAAGTTCAAAAGGGCTCCCAGTTTCAATTTTTGCATTCTTGCATTGAGGGACTGTTTGACTGTGGGATTGTACCACTGCTGGTGCTGAGGTTTGACAGGATCGTGGCCCAGAAGCTTGCGCTTGGCTCTCGCAAGCTGCGGAAAGATCTGCTGCAAGAGGCCATCTACAAGCACAACAAGGGCACTGTTGGAAAGTCCAAAATCTTTCCGCATGAGATTGATGCCATCTACGTGTATGACCAGGCCCCCCCATCCCTGCGCCGATTGCTCAAGGTTATCTGGGGAACAGAAGCGCCGCAGTACACAGCAGTCACACTGTCTTGCATTTCCCTTCCGCTCTTCAGTCCTCAGAAGGCCAACACTGGCATTCTGCGTGTGCAGAGAGAGGCCAACCCTCTGTGGTATGAGATTGCAAGGCACTCTTGGGCCAAGATTGAGGAGATGCTCACGCGCGTGGAGTGCAAGTGGAACATGAAGATCAAGGAGTACCTGGACAGAAATGCAGTCCCTCCAATCTACCAGGCCGCCAGTTGCAGTCCCTTCAGAGATGCAGGCAAGGAGACTGAGGTCTACCTGATGGCAGCCATGATTGTGCATTTCCAGTCCGAGCTCCAGTCCAGCTTGCCGCCAGGAGAGCACCAGAAGTTCATGCAGAACTGGCGTTGTGGATTTCTGGACAGCAAGCTGCTCCCAGAAGTCGTAGCAATGAGACCAGATTTCAAGATTGGTGACATTTGGTCCTCAGTCTCGCAGTCTAGCAGTCCAGATTTGCCAGTGGACTTTGCTGTTGATGAGGATGCGGAAGAGAGTCTGCGACTCTTGATCACCCTTGCCCGTGCACTGAAGAAAGAGCAGGACAGCATGAGGGCGCATCGAGCAGCAGTCCACCGTCACGCAGTCCAGACGATTGCCGCGGAGTGTGACTGGCAGACTGATAAGAACAAGGCCATCAATGAAGCCTGGGACAGCCACAAGGTCTATTACCAGGTCGTATCTGCCAAGAACCTTGCTAGTGCTGAGGCCTTTGAGAACAGTTCGCACAGACTCCTGGCTGGGCGCTTGTTGAAGGAGAAGGGCCAGGTGCCTTTGTTTGCAGCTAAGTCTGAGCGTTTTGGCTTTCCTGTAAAGTCTCAGAGTAGCAATCTGAGTCCTTTTGGTTGCTGTTTTGTTGTGGCAAAGGTCCCGGTCCTTGCAGTCTTGAACATTCCAATGCTTGGGGTTGTGGCAAGTACTGTGGTGACGTCTATGGTTACAAAGATGGCCTCTGATCTCAGCAATGCTCCCACCACCACCATGTACATCGTCATTCCTCCGAACCAGCCTCCCCATGGCACAGGCAGAGTTTCAAAGGCTGAGCGGGACCAGAAAGTTGCTTTACACCAGTCTCTGTGGAAGACTGAGATTGACACCTGTCAAACTCTCCACCTCATAAAGGCGTCAGGCTTGTTTGATGTTGACAGCATGTACAGTGAGGAGCGGGACTTGGGGATTGAGTTCTGGATCATCATGCAAGGCAGTGTGGCCCCTGATGATGGACAAGAGTCGCAGTCCACACAGTCCACACAGTCCATGCAGTCCACGCAGCCGTCCAAGAATCTGTTTGCTTCTTCAGTCTTGGTGAAGAGGAAGGCTGTGCCAGGATTGGTGCAGTGCATGGAGCGTGCCAAGATGGCGAATTTTGCAAAGGATCTTGCCTTTGCACAGTCTGGCACCACACATGGAGATGCTGACCTGGAGCGATCTGGGGCTCAAGATTCAGCACGTGTCTGTTTGATGTATCATAAGGGGTGAAATATTAAGTTTTCTTGTCAGTCCTGCATCTCAGGAAAACAGTGGTTCTCTGGCCCCAGTCTTCTGAAGGATTTGCTCATGGCCAGCTTGAAGGGCACAAAGTTGGGAAAGTCCCACACTGTGCTGGTGAAGGATTGTTCTCCCTATGATGCAGAGTTGGCCCTTGCCATTGCAAGCCTGAATGCGGTCAGCCAGAAGACTTGGCCAGACATGGGCTATGTGGCAGCAGGGTGGGTTGGCGGTCAGGCTGTCAGAGAGCAAGTGATGGTGAACATTGAAAATGTGATTGCAGAGCATGTGAAGGGGGCAATTGGGCGCAATGACTACCATTTGGCCCAGATTCCTGAGGCATTTCGTCGTCAGTGTTCAGTCGTGCAGTCTCAGTCTGGGGGCGTTCCCAGCTTGAATGTGTCTGATTTTGAGCTCACCATCCCATCGGCAAGCAATGAGTTGCACTTGACGCAAGAGTTTGTGGACAAGGGAAAACGTTGTGGCAAAGTCCCCTTGCCAGACAGCGAGGTGTGGAAGGGGATGACTTGGGCAGACATTCTCAAGAAGCACAATGATGAGTTCAACCCCGCGGGCACAACCCGTGGGAAGCGTGCTGCTGATGTCTCAGTGCAGGAGTTCCTGTCCTGCAATTGATGCTTGATTTGATTTTTTGTTTTGTAAGAGTGGCATTCTTCTCCAGACACAGTGTATCCTTGCATTTGCAGGCTGGATGCGGCCAACACAGCAAGTGCAACGCTCACGACTGTCCTGCAGTCCATCAGTCCTGACATGGGTCGTTGTCAGGTTCCTGGCACCACAACGCACCTGTTCTATGTGACCAAATCTGGTGAACTCTATGTGAAAGGACTGGTGGACTGCAACTTGGAGGGGCTGTTGTTCAACGTGCATGGCAAGTTCAAACGGGGCGAGGAGGCAAATTCCCTATTGGAGGCCAACTCAGAGGCAGTGATCCCCTACAGTCTCACAGCCAGTTCCAAAGTCCTGCTGAAGGCCAAGAACAATGCAAGCCTTCCACCCTGTCTTCAGCCCTTTGCACAGAAGCAGGGAGTCTTGGAGAATGTGTTGAATGCTATGTCCATGGCAGGCTTGCCAAAGGTGGGCATCTACCTCCACAGCTGTGAGTCGCAGAACACAGGGACAGAGGTGAAGTGGGAGGTGAAGGTGCTGGAGCCAGCATGCCTCAAGACCAGCATTGAAGAGCCCCCGGAGGATGGGTCGCAGTTTCCGCCGCCAGAGATCTCCTACCTCAAGTTGTCCAGCTATGTTGTTTTGTCCAAGATGAACAGCACTGAGATTTGTTTTGCTCTTGAGTATGATGACCAGTGCAACAAGCTGAAGGGCATGTATCCAGGAGTCTGCATGAAGCAGCTTACCAAGCTTCCCAAGGATGTGATTGCTTCATTGTAGACAGTCTTGCAGTCTTGCAGTTTTGGCTGACTTTACAGTAATTTGAACCAACTACAGCAGCTTCAACCACAAGTTGTTTGCCAGCTGCATTTTGTCTGGTGGTTGGGCAGAACATCATGAGCGTCAGAATGTGCGCAAAATAGGATGCCTGCATTTGAAGGCTACTGCCTCTTTTCAAGTTTTTTCTACTTTAAGTTGAAACCCTAAGCCCTAAACCCTGCTCCTGCCCAGGCCTTCTTCTGCGCCGCCGTGCTGGCCAGGGCACAGCAGCGGCCAGGGCAGGGCAGCAGCGAGCTGCCCCCAAGGGCAGAGCAGTCCTACAGTCCTGCAGTCCTTTGAAGTAGCCTGCAAGACTGTAAGACTGTGTTCGGACTGTGTCTGACCTGGGAGGTATGTTAAAGTTGGGTAGGGTTTAGGGTTGAGGGTTTAGGGTTGGGGGTTTAGGGTTGGGGGGTTAGTTGAAAAGCCGCCACCTCTGTTGAGGATGGTGTCTCAAAACTTGACTGCAGCTGCTCTGGCCCAGTCCTTTGTCTTCCAGCCCCTACAGTCTTCTGCCATGGCCACCAAAGACGGCCCTAGACTTTTGACTCGGGAGGAAGTACATGCAAAAAGGACTGCCGTTCTCGAGTGCTTGAAGAAGACTGAGGAGCACAAGTTCACCCAGCGCATGGTTCAGCATTTCAAGGATGAGAAGCAGCCACTACCAGAACCAGTGCCAGTCACTCCGGAGCCGATGAAGCCAATGAGCAAGAGAACGTGGGAGAAGGAGTTTTACAACTACAAGTGTGCTGTCCGCTTTTATGCGCAGTTGCACGACAAGATGTTTCAGTGAGCCTCAGGCTGGCTAGCTGATTCCCAGGGCGGATAATTAAATTTGATTGTTTCAGTCAGTGTGGCTGACTTTCAACATCATGTAATTCATTGCTTTCAGTCCTGCAGTCCTGCAGTCCTGACTCCCTGAAAATAATTTTAATTCATTTTATGGTCCCCAATGCTTCAAGACTGCAGTGCTGCAGGACTGGTGAACAGTCCTGACTCCCTGACAACATTTTGTGGTCCTCAATGCTTGAGGACTGCAGTGCTGCAGGACTGGTGAACATGATTCAGCAACAGTGTGGATGATTCAGGATGGCAGCAGTGCGGATGCAGAAAAGGCGCGACGCATATGAGGTTTTAGGGTTTAGAGTTTAGAGTTTAGGGCACCCCAACTTGATATCTTAGATGCCTTTTGCTGATATCTTAGTTGGCCTGCTTGACCCTTATATATATATATGCACACCCCATGTTTAGGATCACTCATTTCCCACCCCTATCGTCCGAAGACCGCTTCATAAAACCCTCAACCCCTAAAAGCCCCCCCCTCACAACCCTGACAAAGGCCATAAAAGAACCCCCCCCAAAACCCCCCAAAACCCCCCAAAACCCCTCAGCACCCTTTAAGAACCCTTTTAGAAACCCTTTAAAAACACCGCAAAAGAAACCCCTGAAGAGCCCGAAGCACCCTTCAAAAAACCCTTCAAAAAACCCTTCAACAAACCCCTCAACAAACCGCAAAAGAAAACCCTTCAGGAACCCGAAGCAATTTTCAAAAGGCCCTTCAAAAGAGCCCAAAGCCCAAGAGGGATTTTAGAAACAGAAGAAGGTTTTAAAAGAGGGTTCTTAAGAACCCTCTTTAAAGGAGGGGTTCTTAAGAAGCAACCTTCTTCAAAAGGCCCTTCAAAAGCCCCTGTCAGGTTCGAGTCGGAGCTCGGTGAGGCCTCAGCCCGCGACCGGCGCCTAGCAGCGGAACTGGGGGCCAGTGAGGAGAGCCAGGCGCCACTTGGAGTTTGGGGTTAGGGGTTCATGGGGTTTATAGGGTGTAGGGTTTATAGGGTTTATAGGGTTTGTAGGGTTTGTAGGGATTATAGGGTTTAGGGTTTATAGGGTTTACAGGATTTTTTTGGGGTTTATAGGGCTTAGGGTGTAGGGTTAGTGGCTTAGAGCCGTTTCAAGTGCCTTTGTTGGTGAGGGTTTAGGGCGCTTCGGTTTTTTTTTTTTTTTTGGGGGGGGGGGGTGGGGTTTGAGAGTTGGTTTGTTTGGGGTTTGACTTTCAAGGTTTGGGGATCGGGGCTCTCATGTGCAGAGCTTGGGGTTGAGGGTTCCGGTTGTAAGAAGCGGGGAGGCTGCTTCTGTAAGCCCAGACAATGCTTGCTTCCTACTTCGAGCGTAACGCTTCATCAAGCACTCAAGGAGCTTCACCAGAGGCAGCAACGTTGCCTGACAGCTCGTGTAGAACAAACCATAGCGCACAGCAATTCCTGCGACAGCAGTCCTCATCAAAGCTGCAAGTTCCGGTGACAACACATGAATTTTCTTGAAGCCTGTAACCCCACACCAGTCCCCAGTCAGGTGCGCCTGAGGCAGGAGTTGAGCGCTGAACGGGTGGAGGCCGCAGAGGCCGATGAGCGACTCGAGGCGCCGTCCTGTCTGTGAAGTTGTACTTTGCGAGAAGAAGATCACTTGTGCTTGACGTACCCCTCACGGCAGTATTCACCGCTTTCGTTCCTGTAGCATGGTTCAGATGTGGAAATATGTCGCCTGCGCACTTGACCTGCAGGCGGAGATCGAAGCTGCGCTATCCGAGGTGCGGCCGGCTTTGGCTTGAGCCTCCTCGTTTTTTGAAGTTGGTTTTTAATTCTTTCATCCCAGAGTCCTCGTAAGATGATGTTCCAATCTTCACAATTCTCAAGGACGTCTAACGTCTCCGAACATGCTTCAGGTATTGCTGCGAGCTCGTGAGTGCAACCAGAGCCCGAAGCCTGTGCGCACGCAGAACCCTGAGATACCTGTAGTAGGAGCTGGGAGTAGCCCAATCTACAAGCCATCAGTTTTTCCGTGCCCAGCAGGGCAAGCCTCCCGAATCCAGTGTCAGGCAGAGGCGTTTGAGGCCGCAGCACAGAGGCGCCGCGAGGCTCGGGGGGGGTCTCTGTTGAAAGCAGCTCAAGAGTTCTATATTAGGAATGGCGGGCAGCAGATGCTGCAACAGGTGCAGGGCTCTTCTATGCTCTTCTTCTTCTCAGAGATCACAAGGTGCCTGTAGAGCTCGAACAGGGTGTTGCCTCACCCAGGAGCGCGGCGAAGTGGAAGAGGAGGAAAAGGAGCAGCGTGCCGAGGTACGGCTGGGATCTGGGGTGTGTCGGGGAGGGGGGGGCGAACAGTTTCGCTAAAACACACACACATACGTAGACATACATGCTGACAGACACATTTTCTTTGTTATATATATATATACATGTATGTATGTATGTATGTATGTATGTATGTATGTATGTATGTATGTATGTATGTATGTATGTATGTATGTATGTATGTATGTATGTATGTATGTATGTATGTATGTATGTATGTTTCCTGCTTGTGGCCTGTTGCATTCGGTGTTTTGGTGGCAGCACTGCCTTCAAGAGCACGTATCTCAGTGCTTATCTCCGTAAACCGCCATCAGCTCCGTAGACTCAGCGCAGCCCCTACTTGGAGGTTCATGGTACTTATTAAGCAGTTATAGTTGGTGAATAAGTACCATTGAACCTCCAAGTAAGCCCTAAACCCCCATGGAAGCCAAAATAAGCCAAACAGGCCGCTGCACGCCGAGCCCGCCTCAAGAAGATGGAGGACGCCCTGCACCTTTCAGCCTTGTGGCTTAGGGTCACAGAGGGGTTTAGGGTTTTGGGTTTGGGGTTTGGGTTTTAGGGTTTGGGTTCAGGGAAATGTGGTTCAGGGGGTTTAGGAATTAAGGTTTAGGATTCGGAGGCCCGTGGCAAGGTTGGGTTGGTATTGCATAGGCTTGGCACAGGGTGACACTGAATTATTCCATTATTCTCAATTTCTGTGGGGCTTTGGGTTTGGTGGCCGCCAGGTTCTGGGTTCTACAAAGCTGCAGGTTCTAAACGACACAGCTGCACCATGCAGCCGGCGGTTGCAGCCACGAATTGTCTCAGTCCTGCATGAAGTGTTAGTTGCATTGTTAGTTGCATTGAACTGCGTCGTTTTTTCTTGGGAATCGACTTGAGATTGGCCTTTTTGCGCAGGGAGCACATGCTCCGGTGGCCGGACCGTCAGCTGCCGCGGCGCGGCAGCTGAGCCGCAGGGGTCTGAAGGGTGCCCATGAGGGGTGCCCATGCAGCCACGCCTCTGACAACGGGAACGACGGAAGTCCATTGAAACCTCTTTGAGGCATCCTGCGAGGTGTTTATTTGGGGGACTTAAAGAGAGTACTCTCAGCCCAGGCAGAGCCCACCTACGCAGCCACGTCCGGGGCAAGCCAAGGACCGCGGTGCACTGCTGGCGATGACGGGCTCTGCTTTCACTTCGTGTCCGAAACTAGATGCTCCTGACCCAACCCTGGCTTCGCTTGCCCCAGGAAGCGCATATGTAAAGGGTCGAATCTCGAACTCCGAGCCGGAAACCCTCAACCACCTCAACCCCCAGGCTGAGAAACAGTCAACCCTGGCCCTATTTCTGAGGAGGAGCCTCCTCGGCCGGAGCTGCCAGCATTGTCTAGCACGCTGCGACGGCCCGAGGCCTTCGTCGATTCTTGTGGGGACTCCGGGCTCAGGATTTCAGCTCTCGTAGGCAGCTCGCATGTGAGGTGCGCTTTGGGGACATTGTGTCTACAGCACAGATACTCCCTGTCACTGTAAAGCCATGAAGCCGTCGAGCTGGCCCGGAGGAGGCGCCTCGTCGATCCGATCCCGAGAAGTGGCAGGAGGCCCACGAGAATCAATCGACGATCCACTGTATTGTAAAACACCGTGAGTTCATCAAGAGAGCCCCTGCCATTGGAGCTGCGTAGTCCTGGGATGAAGAGATGGTAGTGGAGATGCTGGGGTTGAGAGTTTTGACCCAAACTGCACGTCGGCTGATGTGGCCATGTGCCCGTTCGCAGGAAGAGCCTCCACCAGCAGAAGCGGTTGCGCAGCATCAAGAAGCAGCTGCTTGCCTGGTAACACCAAATCTGCACTTCTAGCCATCATACGTTGGGTGCCTCAAGAAGAACGGACCATAAGTTATCATATTCAGATGGGACGATAAGGAGATAGAGCAGCGTATCGTACTTCTTCTTAGCAAAACACGGACACAGTTATTCTCAGAATGGTGCCTCGAGGTCGACACGCCAGGTTATCACATCACACCTTCTTCACGATATGATAACTTGAAGTCTCACGATAAGTTTCATATCAGAAGGCCTGGCAAAGGTCTGGCGACTTGTATTTGGACTGCACAAAGGTTACGATCAAAGCCGTATACGATAATAAGGAGAAACTGACGAAGATGCATTCGTCATGCATGTCGGAGACGAGCGATGACCTTTCTGCTTTCCTTTCCAAGGATGCTGCCAATGTGCCGGGAACCAGCTAGAGTTATTTTGAATAGCACCAATGTCCAATACCCTCACGCTAGACCTACATGTTTAGACAAAGCTGTGACAAAACATGTTTGAAGCATATATGTGCTGCGTGAATGGGCTTAGCACTATCAATGCACCTTGGGCGTGGAGATTGCCCAGGACAGCCAGCCTGGCCTGGAGGAAGCGCCCGCAGATGCCATCGAGGCATCTGAGGGCACGCGCTTGGCTGTGTTGGTGATGTCCTGGCATCGCTATGTCAGAATGTGGTGAGGAAGATGGGTACACGAAAGAGGAATGGATGGAGTTTTTCATTGAGGACAGCTGGGCGTCGGTGATCATGCGGTCTGTAGGGGTCGGCAGGCTTGCTTGGTGCACATGAGCTTCTCCACGTTGATTGCGAAATCCTGCTCAGGAGGGCCTCCCGTCAGATCAACTGGCAGTTCTGGAGCAGATCTTTAGCAAGCTCGACACGTCAGGCGTCAGGGTGTAACCTTCGGCGACTTTCGAGAATTTCGCTTTTCTTCAGTTGTTGTGCAGCATGCATCGGGCAGGAGATGGCGTGCTCTCCGCCGTGCCCGGGCCGAGTTTAGGTTTCCTGAAATGTCCCCCTTCTAGAGGATCTGCTTCGTCGTCATTTTCAGTTTGGGGCCTTCTTGTAGCCTGGACAACAAGTGTTTCGTGAAGAGAAGTTGCATCGTTCGCTCAGGATGAGCTCAGCACGGCACTGAACGACCGATCGCTGAAGATGTCTGAGGAGACCCGGCAAGCGCTGGTGGACTTCATGTACGATGTGGCCTAAATCTGCAAGACAGGCTTCTGGACAAATCTGGCTCTGGACCCTGTGCAGAGTGGACTTCTATGTTCCGACCCTCTCGACTGCAAGCTGGTGTCTACGGAGGGTGCGGTTCGATGTGCTGAACGCAGCCGACAGCCATGCCGCGATCGATCTGGCCAGAGATTGCCGTCTGGGTTTCGGATTGCTGTGAAGCACGCGTTCCAGAGACGGCGGAGCCGTTCCTGACCTTGTGGACTTGTCCGACGGCATGCATCGGCGTTCACGGGGTCATGGTAAATCGGAATCATGACCAGAGAACGCTGGACTGTTTGGTTCGGCTGCACGCGCATTCGCGCAGAGGACGATCGAACTGGGATCACGTCAAGCAGCCTTCGCGCCTCGAAGAATCATTGGGCTGGGATTGGGCGAATCTCCGTGCTGCAGAGCTTCTGAATGTTCTGGTGCCAGTCTCCTGCGGGGACTGCATCTTTTGCCAGCTCAAGAGCTGACATCCGGTTTAGACAGTCGGCTCCAAAGCAAGTGCCGGTTTCACTTCTGGAATGTTGTAAAGCCTCAAAGACAGGCTACGAAACGTCTCGCATCTACCCATCCTTTGCAAGGGGACAGGGTAGCTGCAAAGATTCCTGGGGACATGAAGCCTGCGCAAAAGGCAGCCTGCCTCCGCTGTGCTCTCTTTCGATGCTGAGGATCATCTTCCACCCCAATGGAAGCAAGGATGCCAGCCTGGACCTCGGCCGTTCTCCTGGAACCCTGTAGAGACTGTGGAGCAGCAAGGCAGTCAGGGGTCCTAATGGTCAGCCCCCGCCGGCACGAAGTGAGACGAAGTGGAGGTTTTTTTGCAATGCAAGAACAGGACACTGTGCGGGTGGCGTCTCCGTCACGTGCTGATTCTCTTCCTGTGCAACGATCATGATCCCAGGTGATGGCTGCTCCTCCATCGCTCTTCGAATTCCGGAGGGCATGTCTGTCTCACGAGCCGGGTCGCCAAGTAATTGCTGCCCACTTCGCAGCAGTGCAGCTGCCCTTCAAACTGCCACAAGCAGCGGCCTTGACAGAGGTCAGAAGGGCCGCTTAGTAGGTGCCACGGTTAGTAACGATTAGTACTTCTAGCATGCAGCATCATAGCACAGGATTACCGTATGCGAATGCTTGCTTAATTTCCATGTAGCTGGCAGTGGTGGAGTTCTTTGCAGGGTTTCGGAATTCTGTTTCCGCGTCAGGTGTTGTACGTGAACCAGGATCACTTTGGCCCCAGCATTGTGAAGCAGGCTCTTGGGGCGTGCTTCGGAGATGTTCTGACCACTACAGTAGAACATATGTCACTGAAGTGCCTGACGTCCTGTAAAGCTTAAGAATAGTGGGAAGAGCCTGGGATAAAACAGAAGCATTTCAAAGCAACAGAGCCAGCTACATACTACGACATTCCCACGGTTTCACGATGCTTCATGAGCGCCTCATTTGGTGTCAGAATGAGAATGAGTCGCGAACCATGGGTCTGTCATATTTTGCTCCAAGCTGCATTCGGACCCCACTCCCAAACCCGAAGGCCCAACGCGTGTCCGCTGCTGCGGCCTAGGTCCTAGGGATGTGAGATAATCTCCGGCAGACTGCGATATTGGTCAGTAAAGACCGTCAAGACGCTCTTGTCTTCGATGCTGTCTCACGCTCGTGTCCCACTTTTGTTGGAGGTTGCTTCTGTGCTGCATGCATGAGTTTGAAGTCTTCTTGCTAGAGAACTAACTGGGATGATTTTTTCTAGAGCAGCAAGCGTAGAACACACCATCATTTCTACAGCAGCAAGCGTAGAACACACCGCATGCTTTCGTTGCAGGCCCGCAGGTTATGGGTGAGGAGGGTCTGAGATTCGCCATGTTGCATGTCGCGCACGTGCCCTGATTTCTGCTGAAGTTGATGTAGGGTAACCTACATCCCAGGGCTTGATTTAGCAAACCCTCGGCTCTCAGTCGGGCGAAGAGGCCTGTAATGCACCTGAGTCGACTCCCTGAAGTCCTGCAGGCCGTGGAGGGCTACACAAATGCAGCGCGGGTCGGGCTCGCAGTTTAAGCGCTTGGAGCAAGGATCTGCTAAATGTTTGGAACCTATTTTGACTCATGCCGCCACATATCCATGCCATGCCCGGGGACAGCTGGGGGTCCTATGGGTCCTGTGTGGCCGTGAATGCAGCTCCTTCCAGATATCGCCACCGTCCGCCGCGCTACGTGGAACCGCTGCAGACATCATCGTCGTGGGTGTGCCGGGACTCTCAGCGCGTTCGAGGGTCATGGCAGCAAGGGAAAGCACGTCCCATGAACGTGTCAAGGCAAGGCTCCAACGATCAGTGGAAAGGGCTCGTCTGCTGCTGACATGTATGATGACACGACCTCCTGCGTACGCAGGGCCAAAGTTACTGTCATCAAAGTTACAGGTTTCAGCCCTATTTTCTCCGCTCCAACAGTGAATGCGCGCTTCGTGACTTAGCGCATTTGCAAAGAGGCGCGAGCTCTACCAACATGGATGGGCTGCGGACCCGATGCTTCAGTGCAAGCCTCAATGGCGTTTCCTGTGCCAGACTCCCGACTCCGAAGCTGTTGACCATTGTTGACCTGAGCCTCTTCAAGTCTTTGAAGCTTGCAGGAAAGTGCTGCTCATCGGCGATGCCCCTGCAGCAGAGATCAACTTCGAGCTGCCTGGACATGTCAATAAGCATATCCCACGAACTCTTGCCTACACGGGCTTACAGTAACATTTGCTGAAGGTAAATCCAGTCGCAGTGCAACGTGGAAAGATGTGTCCTGAGACAGATACACGACATGAAGCCAAACCGTTCCGAGAGGAGCCAACTCAAGTGCTTCACATCCTGAACATGTATCAGAAGTATTAAGCCTCGCGCCCCAAAGACACAAGAACGATCCCTACTGTTCTCATGCCTTGGATAATAGGCCCCAGCTCCAAACCCAAGGCTCCTTCGCGAGCAGCGGGAACGACGTCTTCAGCAGGAGAGGGAGAGGCACGGTCAGAGACCTCCAAAACCCTCGTCTGAGCATACCCCATCACCGTCATGGGTGTTTAGCTTCCTCTCATGTTCTTCCAGAGGGTAGGGTGACATCTTGGACCTGAACGCTAGGCTCCTGCGCACCTCACCTAAGGCATCCGAAGATGGGGCGGAAAGTTGTATGGGGCTGATTTTGAAAGGTTGCAGGGACACTTCGTGCTAAGCTCCCTCGCAGGTGCCGGCTGGAAGCTGAAGCACGGCCGGAAGCTCAGAATCCGGAGGCCTAAGCTAGCCCGCGGCGACCATGAAACACTCCATGGCACAATGTCAGCAGAACGACCAGTGACCCGAAGAGATCCCCTCAAGAAGTTAAGAACTTCACACCATGCCTTACACCTCCAGCTTCGGCCTCGTGTACCGGCCCTCGGAGGTAGCTTTCCTTTTCCTAAGGCGACAGGCGCAGGTCGATGCGCAGGAGGCACGCACTTATGCCGACTGATGCTCCAGTGTGAACTCGGGGGTGGCTCCAAGCTCCAGAAGCATGGCGCAAGAATATCTCGGTAGTAAAGGCATCAGAAAGTTTACTGAGCAAGAATACCTGTGGCCAGTGTGCCCCTCGGCTTAATTGTCCGTCCGAACTGCATGCAAGTATGCCATGAACGCCAAGAGCCCTTGAGCCTAAGGAGCCCCGAGAAATTGTCGTTCATGCCCTGAGAACTTCCACGGGAGCTCAACTTCCATGGGCCTCTTGCAACCTGTGGTCCTTCCCCAAGTGAACAACGCATCTCAAGCCCTTGGAGCCTGGGCTCCTTATACTACTTAACTATTTCATTGTTCGTATGTCTAGTGTATGTCTAGTATTCTAGCATTCTAGTACTCTAGTATGCTAACATTCGGTATTTTAGTACTATCCTGTTGTTATCATTAGAGTATATAGGGCCACGTGGACTCGCAGGCGGCAGAGGAGGCGCGGCGAGCGGCCGCGGAGGAGGCAGAGGCCTTGGCCAAGGCGAGCTACCCGGATTGGGGGCCGAGCCTTTGGAGGGTTAGGGGTTTCATGGTTTAGGGGTTCATAATTGAAGACTTGGGAATGTGTTAGGGGGTTTCGGGTTCAGGCTTACAGGGTTCATGGCCTAACGAGCATCCAGGGGTACTGTAGGCTTTGACAAGAATGAAGAGTCGGAACAGCCGGGCGTTGGCCAGGTCGTGAGCGCGATGGCGGAACCTGTCAACCCCGACCAGGCCGTGCTTGGTTGTGTGCAGTCGTCATCAGCATTCCACGAGCGTCATGCCTTCAGAAGCTTAACGCTGGCCATGTTTTGGGGGGAGCGCAGGGTGTATCACCGTGATAGAGTTGGACCTTGTTTTGTTTTCAAAACTGCTTTGTTTGCACAGTGTGCATTCTTTGCTGGTGGCCGTGCTGCATCCTAACTGATCTTGCGGAGCTTTTGGACGATATTCTTTATATTCTAAGATATGATGCTTGCCATAATGTAGCAACATACTAGAATTATATTCGTACTACTTTGTACTACATTAGTAGCATGTTAGTATTGCATAAGTATTACATCATTACATGTTTACAGCATTCTATTCTCATTATGTTATATTCATGACCCTGAGCGACTCTGAGCTGCTGTCAGTTTCAGCAGCTTGGCCTCGCCCTTGATCTCCTTGAGTCCCTGCTTGATCGCGGCTCAAGCCTAGGATCCAACAAGGTGTTGCCTGTTCTGCGTTCCTTCTCCCGCCTCTGGATATGTCGGGGGCAAAAGGTCCCGAAACAAGCCAATGGAACACGCAGGTTCCTTCGCCGGAGTCCAGCGATGCTGCGCCGCCAGACGCTCCCGAATGGCAAACCCTGATTCCCGCTCATCTGCTGAAGGACGATCTCGATAGCGAGGCCTGCAAAACCCTGGTCCCGCTGGCAGCCATGGAGCTCAGTTTTCCAGCTGCATCCAGCTCCCTGGGATTCCGTGGGCTTGTAGTGCCTCTGAGGCGGCGCTAGAGTTGTCATATGGAGTGTCCCCGACAACATGGCGTTCCTGCGCCATTGATTTGTACGTCACGTCACGCACAGGTTCGCTGCCCGTTTTGACATTTTGCCATTGCCAAACTTCGAGGAACGGGATCTTCGAAGAGCTGCGATACATTTCCCCCCCTGTGATTAAAGTCTCAAAACCACCCAAAGCCCAATCACCAGCAGCGCTCTTCATCCCCAAAACCTCTAAAATGTAAGAGTTCTACCTGAAAACCGGCCGCAAAAAGGTCTCAAGCTGTACTGAGACTCCCGGTGTCTGAGGTTCCGAGGCTCCTCCTGAGCCCGAGCAAGCTGCCAGCTTCTCCCAGCACGAACCGCACTTCCAAGAAGAGGAGGATCACTTGGGGGCTCAAAACGAGGTTCAGGGATGGTCTTTCAAGGTACCTGTCAGGTGAATAGGGCCCGATGAGGACGACTGCAGCTGGATAGTGGAAGATGTTGGAAGATGTGGAGGAAGGGTCGGTCTGCAAGCGTCTTGCAGCTCATCCTATAGGAAAGCCAGAGGTCCACAAGCCATTGCAAGCCAATATCATGCAGGAGGTGATCTTCGGCCAGGCAGTTTGGCTTCATGTTTACGACCTCACAGCCTCGTTCCACCTCCCCGTTCTCAACTCGGCGCTGCTCCGCACAGGCGCGCAGGGGATTCATGTTTGTAGTCGTCATATCAGCAATACGGGATGCTAAAGTAATGAGACAAAAGCGCAATGAAGTGAGCCGGCAGCTTGGGGGGCTCAACTTTCACCCGTTTTTGGATTTCCCCTCGAGGCGGCGGTCTTTTTCATGCGGGCATCGAGGCAAGGGGAATCGAATTCGAAGTTCAGGGACAGAGAATCTGCCCGCAGCACGCCTTGCAGATTCCAATTTTATGAGCCCCAGGCTAAAACCCGTGTGCAGTGTGGAAGATGCATCGATGGGTCCCGGCAAACTCAAGGGTCCTTTTCCTCAGAGCCAGAGGTCCATGGCTACGAGTACAGCTTTGGACTGCGTGAACGGGGCAGCGGCGTCTATGCCTGTGCTCCCAGAGGCAACGCAGCCCATGTGTGGCCAGGCTGCAAGAAGCGCTTCCCCACAACGTGCCTTGCATGCTCGGGGCCTTGCGCATGTGTAGATGGATGACACAGGACGCCGCGAACTCCCACAAGACAGATTTTTGAAGGTCCGCAGTTCATTGCGCTTTGAAAGCTCGCGCAAAAGTCAGATCGATTTCCCAAGCGATGCTGGAGGTGGGGGTGGGTACATGACAACAAGATCGCGCAGCGGCCCGCGTGCACATTCCCTCGAAACAAAAGCGCGAACGAAAAGTCCATGCATCAGCACCTGCCATTTTCAATGGACATGCAACCCGTTCTTTGCGCCACGAGCGAAGCGAAGAGGATCAGTGATACTGGCTCTCGGGAGGCATGATTTGATGGTTGTCCCGCGATGCTGCTAGCATACCTACGTACGCGACACAGCGCCAGTGGCCAGTTGGCCGGCAGCCTTGCGAGAAACCTCCGTTGCAGCTGAAAGTGGGCCCCAGGTATCGTGAGTCGCTTCTGTTGGGCCACACCACAGTGGACTGCAAGGAGCTGAAGAGGATCATGAAGGAGATGAAGAAGGCCTGTCCGAGGTGACAGTCCTTGCGCCACAGGCACATGCACCGCATCGCATGTCCTCGGTCTCTGTCAGGAATGGCCTGGCAGGAGCTATGGCCCAATCACTCGGAGCCTGGACAGTGTGCGTTTAGAGTTCCAGAATGGACCTTCAAAGTGAGACTTCGGATTTGCGGGTGTTTTGCTGTTGCCAGTTGGACCTATGGATGAAGCAACTCATGCGACCTTTGGCTTCCGAACCATCCTCTGCCACATCCCGAGGAACTGCATCCACTTCTCTGCAGCCCTGAGCGAGCGACTTGGCAAGATGTTTTGGGCAACCGCAGAGAGGGGTCCAACAATTCTATTCCATTATATCATAGTACGTATGGGGTTTTTGTACTTATCGTAAACTATACAATATTATACTATATGATCCTATATTTTCCTATATTATCCTATACTATACTATATTATACTATCTGATGTTGTACTTTACGCACAGTATGTGCAGGGCCATGCCTTGGGTTGGAGAGAAGCATTGGCCATGGGCGTCGGTGAGAGGAGAGTCCCCGCCTCCCATCATCTCCCGGCACGATGTTTAGCAAGTATTCTCCTTCTTCTTGTTGTGATTGTTATCATTATCATTATCATTATCAGTATCATCATCATCCTTATCATTATTATCATCGTTATCATTATTGCTAGAATTATTACTATTACGATTATTATTATTCTTCTTATTATTATTATTAGTAGTATCACTCTTCTGATTATGATTAGTATTAGTATTAGTATCAGTATTATTATCATCATTACAATTATTATTATAAGTATTATTGTCAGACTAGATTACGATCATAATAAAAATGATCTAGTGATATGAGAATAGGATACTGTCATAAAGGCGGCTGGGCGCCGGCGCGGTGCCCCGCTGGGTCTATGGCCTTGCCGGGTCTCTGCGGGACCTTGTCCGGTGCTGAGAGCTGTTGCAGAGTCCGGAGCGGAATCGAGATGTAAGGCTTAGTAAGGCAGTAAGGTTCAAGGGGCTACGATGCTGGTATTCTCAGGTGGTTTCGGACCTCGGGGCCTCGAGGTTTCTGGTCTCTGAACAGATGGCTGCGACATGAAAGTCCAGATTAGCCAGGTCCAGGTGCCGTTTGCAACAAAAACAGGAGTTTGTAGAAACTGCCAGTCTCTTTGCCGCAAGCCCCCCTTCGCAAGCAGGCCACCTAAGAGCTTGTAGGTCAGCTTAGAGGCTTCGAGTTCGCTGGCTGCTTTCTAGGTGAATCGCATCTCTGACTGCTCGGAGTCCGTGGCCCGCGCGGAACCAAGTGAGCGCAGACCTTCATTGCTTCGTGGGCTTCGTGGCTTCATGTTTGGCCTCTTTGATGGTTGTTGACCCGAGCTGAGGGCTTGCGGATGCGAGCGACTGCGGCGTCGTTCAGATCCTGGATGCGCACGAGGCCGCTCCAGTCCAGGAACCCTGGAGCCCTGCAACGCACCCCCCCCCCTCCCCACCCTTTCCCTGCACCAAAAAACTCGCAGCTGAAGGCTGAAGCCCCTGAGTTTTCGGAGTCAGTGCAGACCTTGCAGGAGCTTCGCCCCATGGACTTCAAGCCTGAATCCAGGTCCATGATGCGCGTGGGCCCGAGGGGGGAAATGTTGCCAGAGCTCCTTGAAAGTCCACGTCAGCAGTCTTTGCCTGCAAGGGGGGTTCCTATGTTATGAGGCTGAATCACATATCAGCCTGGATTATGTTGTACATGCCCCAAAATGGCCCAAACATAGAACCACAAACAGAAGCAAAAATTGAAACACAATAGGGGAACATACACATTGAACAATGGACACTGTGTTAGAGCCGCAAATGGGAAAATAGGCGCAGATTGACTGATAAACCAAATAGGCAGAAAATGAGGAGAAAATCGAAGAAACTCGACTGAAGCATGGCTAGAAAATATTGGAAAACAAATAGAAAGAGCATAAAAAATAGAAATATCTAAACAACGGCGCTGGCAACACCGCGTCACATGTCTCACACCTTCGGGCTTTGGAGTTTGGAGTCTTTGGTCTTTCGAGGAATGTGTTTTGCTACCTTGCTGGACCTTGCTAATGTCGGAACGATCAAGGAATGTCACATTTTGGAAATTTTGGGTTTGGGCCGGTTCGGTTTGGCCTGTTTTTGGCAAGTTTTTTGGGGCGAATTGGCTTTGGGAATGTTGTTAACTGTTAGTTTTTTGTTTTGGGCCGGGCGGCCAGGCTCCAGAGCGGCCTGTCTAAATTTAATTTTTTTAAATTCGACTCACTTCTCGACTCTACTAATACTCTAGTCACCGGGCTCTACCCGGACTCTACCGCCGCTATTGAATGCTGTCGTTTTCGTTATGAATAATTAGTATTTGTAACTGTACTGACGTTGTTGTTGTTACTGCTCACTGTTGCTGATGTGTTGCTGTGTCTGTATGTCTCTATGTATGTATGTCGCAGTTGCGGAAATTTTGGAATTGCAGGGCCTTCAGGCCTAGTGGGCCCAATGCAGCCAGACTCTTGTGCCTCTGTGTCTCTGTTTGTCTCTGTGTGTGGCTGGTTGGTCAATGAAACAAGTAGTTCCATTCGAGCCGTCTTGAAACACGAGGCTAGGACCCATATCGTGGCGTCGGATTTGGGCTTCATTTGGGTTTGGGCCTGCTTGGGGACATGAGACCGAGGTCTTTGAGAGGCTTGTCTCAGCCTGGACAGATCGCTCAGAGATTCACGCGAAGGACACTTTGGGGCTGTCCGGTCTTAGGAGAACCTTTCGTACATCTGACTGCGCTTTTTGCATTTCTTCAGCTAGTGGGGCCTGCGCGAAAACCGGGCAGCTCTTGTCGGAATTCGAGCATGGAAACATCTCCTGCTCTGGGAATTTGCTGATGCAGCAGGTTGGTTCTCGGTTCAGTTTCGCACGCGCGTGGTGCCCTTCCGCTTAACGTCTGATTGCCATGGCGCATGCTGTCAGTACCCTTGAATTCTGTATCGCTGCAGAGGCGTTTGTTTGAAAAAGTCATGACTACTTCGATTTTTAGGCTGTGACTCTCAGATGTGGTGGACACCCGCTGAATATCGAGCTGCGCTGGCCCCGTGTCCGTGTCAGAGACATTGACAGCCAGCCTCAGCAGGAGTAAGGGAATTGGGGCTTCAAGACACTGGTTTTGCGCCGTGCAAGGCCATAAGCAGTCCACTGGTATCTGTGTGAAGGCCTTTGCCTTCTTTGAAAAATCTTCGCAGCCACGGCAATGCCCTCCAGAATTTGTTTACGGAGCACAGCCCACAATTAGCTGGCCGGAGCAACTTTGTGCGGACCTGACTGTTAAGCAGCTTGCAATTGGGCTGCCATCGAGCTCTCGGCCTAACATGCTGCCAAATTGCCAGAGAAGCGAACTGCTCGGGCCGACGACGGAAAAACAGAAGAGACGTGAAGAGACATCGGAGTTGCCTGCCCCTTTCTTATCCGCTTCCTGCAAAAAAAATGAGGGGAATGAGCCAAGGGTGCACCCTCTGAACTGCCGCTGTGCATTGGGGCCCCCGATTTTCTTGGTGATTCCAGCCTACGCTTGGTGTTAGTATGTGTTAGTGATGGGCTGTGGACGCAGGTCATGATGCAGGGCGCGGTGAAAGCCGCCCAGGCAGGCATCGGCGAATACACCCAGGTGTTCGAACAAGGGCGGCATGTTCACAAGGAGCCCTATCAGAAAATGACTTTTTGGATAGGGGGGGCCCTGATTTGGAACAACCACCAGATGACACAGCAATCCCTCGGCCTCCTTCCGTTTCAGTGAGCAGAAGTGTGCCAGGCGTCTGCGGAGAAGGCTGCAACAAAAGTTGAAAGTGGCAGCCTGAGGTTCATCTGAAAACCGCTGGGGTCGGAGTTGAATCGAGTCAAAGCCAGCTTCTCGCATGATGGTTTGAGTCTGGGGGCCCACATGTCATGGGTTGCGCGCCATGGTTGAGGTCCAGAAGAGAAAGCCGAGCGGGAGAAGAAGGAGAAGGCAAGAGTCGTGGGAGTTGCAGGGCGGGGGTAATCCCCGCCCCTCCCGCCCCAAAGGACAAACATCCTCCAACGAGCCAACGGCTGAATAATCTGATTCAGGGGCCTGAACTTCAGGCCTCGAGCGTTTAGGGCTAAGGGGCCTGAGGCCCTGAAGCTTCAGGCCTAAGAGCTGCAGCTGAAGGGTCCAGGCCTTCTAATCTTCTCCTTTTAGTGGCTCCCTCCAGGCTCTAAGATTTCTCCGGAGAACCCGTACGGCATAATTACTAAAGTGCGTTTAGGGTTTAGGGTTTAGGGCTACCCCTTTGGAAAATTGCTTGGGGCCTTGTTTCGTAGATGGGTTCGAAAAGAAATGTAGCCATCAAAGCCGGATCCAGAAATTCTTGGGAATCTGAAGGTGGAAGGTGAAGTTTCATGCTTGAAGCTTCAGGCCTTAGCGTTCAAGGACTCCAGGCCGGTGGCCTTCGGCTGATAATTCCGGGAACCTTTATCAAGAAGGGGTGAACCTTTTGTGGCCTGGACGGCTGGCGCTGCTCAGACTATTCCTGGACCCGATGCGTGCTCAACTTGCAAGCAGCTTCCAAACAGCTCCCCAAGCTGCTCTCTTCAGCTGAGCACTCCGTGGAGAGAGTGTGTGTCATTAATGGCACCGTGGCTCGGCAACTCTCAAAGTGGCCAGACTTATGAATCATCTGGGGCTGGGCGCGCGGAAGGTGGACTGCGGGAGAGCTTGAAAGTACGCAACTCCTAGATTTCATTCGGCTCCTGTATGCGCCGTATCTTGTGGTTCAGGGGCCATCTCACATGGCCAGAAGTCGAAAACACAGGAATCACTGCTTTGAAGGCCTATGCCTGGCTGCTCGAATATCAGCGGCAGCAGGCCGAGGACGCGTCCAGCAATGGTAAGCTTGTTTGTGAAGTCCAGGTGATTGTGCTCAGCCGGTGGCAGCAGATTGGGGCAACTGGGGTCTGCTCGGAATTGATTGCGTCGATTCGATGAAGATGGTGACACCCCTAAAAAGGCTCCTAGAATCTGCAGCAAGGCAAAGACATTCTCCGACACTGTCATTCAGATTTCATTGCAGTCCGTTCGGTTGGTGCACAGCTTTGCGCGTCGTGCGGTCTAGCTGCTCTAGCCTACTAGTTCAGCCATTTCAGCCCTGACAGTCTTTCCTGCCCAAACTGCGAGGAGAAGGCAGAAGCCGAGCGGCCAGCCTCCCAGAACATCGCTATGCATGGCATCTAAGATTAGAATCGAAAATGGTGCAGTTCCTAAGACGATCCTGAGAGTCCATCACCAAGTTGCCATGGAGCACTCGCCCTGCGTGTTGTGACTCAGGTCGTTCCGCCTCTCGTATCTTGTAAGTCTGTCCGCTTGCTTGTGATTGAGTCGTGGGTGCTCATGAGGGCCCTTCACTGCGGCCAAAGCCCGGGGTCTCAGGCTGCGCCAGGAGCGAGAGCGTGCAGAGCGAGAAGTGAAGATGGAGGCGCGGCAGCGTCTTCAGTGAATCCGGCCACACGAGGCTTTGTAAGGGATGGGTTGGGATGGGTTGTGCTTTATGTGACGCTCTCATAGGTAGTCAGCTGTAGACCTTGCCACAGCGCCGAGTGCCCCGAGTGCCCAGGCAGAGAAGAGACGTAAAGCCGAAGAGGCCCGGGAAACTCTGGAGTTCTGGCAGGCAGAGCACCTCAGGTTCCTTGTGTCACTGAGCGGCTGGTGTGGCTCTTGATCTAGAACCCTGTTATCTTCAGTGGATGCCCTTCCCACTTCAGCTGAGAAGCCTCATATTCCCTGAGTCATCCTGCGTCCTCCTGGGTATCAGCAGATCAAACGCTGGTGCATCATCCTTTGGCACACTGACAACCTGGATTCAACGTCACAGCTTTGAGGTATTCGCGGGCCAAGCATGCGCCTGAGCCCCACATATCAGGCCTTACCCGAAAGGATGAGCCCTAAACCCCTTCAGCACCTCGACCCTCTAAAGCGCAAGGCCCTACGCCAAACTCTTCCGGAAAACCTCCCAAGCACCTTGAGCCTTAGAGCCCCCACACCTCCAAAACAGGCCGAGCGCCGGGAGAGGGAATGGCAGCAGCGTCAGCGGGAGGCGGCTCCAGGGATTTCGGACTCCCTTTCGTTCAGAAGAATCCGAAGAGAGCTGTTTATGCATGATTGTAGTATATATATATATATGTATAGATAGATATATATATATATGTATCCATGAGGGGCTGCTTTGAGCTTTAGGGCGTGTCGGTAAAGCAAGTATCTGCAGAGAAAAAGTCCGGTTCGCGAGTTACATCTGCTGGACTCTGGGATAAATGGTCAATTCTCTAAGTCATGGTCCCTTTTTGGGTACCCTACAGAAGAGGGGCCGCCCTTTTTTTAAGGGCCCACAAGAGGGAAGACATTTTAGAGACGTGACCAAGTCGGTCAGGTTGTTTGACAGCGTTCCCCATTCGTGGGCTCCTCCCAGGAGCGTGAGTATGAAGAAGCTGCTCAGCGGAGCGCGGAGGCCGCGAGAGGGGTGGACAAGTCGTGGAGTCGTGTGCGCTTCTCTCCCCATACTGTTTTGCAGAGGTTTTTGTAGATAGGTAGAATCGATCCGCTCAAGAAGGGCTGTGCACCTGTAAGCGGGCCCAGTTTCTAGTTCCAAGCTCTGTTCTTCTACCCCCAATTGAAAAAACAGGGAAGCGCGGGCGGTGCGGCTGCTGTCTTGGCCGACGCCGGTGTGAAAATGCTTCAGGGTGGGAGGCTTCGGCGATCAAGATCCCTGAGCGAGCAGCCAGTTGTGTCCTCCGCAGGAACAGGCAGCAGCCATGGCAAAGCTCCGCCGGGAAAAAGAGGAGGCCGACAAGGCGGTGGACAAGCATCGTGGCGCATGGCGGTAGAAGCCGGTTGAAATAGGCTACGAAGGTGGCCGGTGCTCAAGAAGGTCGCAGCATGTCGCAGCAAGCCTATACATATCTTGGTTCTCCGGCTTTCATAGCGTAGGCTGAATCTTCACAGCTGGACATGGCATCGCTCTCTTTCAGTGCAGCCATCTCCGGTCTCCAGGGGCGATGCGGCGATGCCTTAAGTTCTCATTTTAGGAGTTAGTGTTTGTTTGGTCGCATGAAGCTTGGCAGATGGAAGCTGAACGACAGCGTCGCCGAGAGGAGGAAGAGCGGCAAGTCCGCACTCAGCAAAGGTTCATCATGGTTCCAATTTAAGTCGGAATTGTTCGTGTAGGAACAATCATGCGCATGTCCCAGAGGTGGCTTTTCCGTCATCGCTTTGGTGGATGCATGTGCCTTACCCACACTGCTCCCAGGCAAGCAGAGATTGAACGACGCGCGGAAGAACTAAAGGAACGGCGCAAGCGAGAAGAGGATGTGAGGGGGTTGCCTAGATCCCCTCTACAAATGCGAAGCAAATGTCCTGTAGCGACCCTGTGCCGACTTGCAAAACAGCGCTGGCCTTTCGACATGTCAACTCCCGGTTAGTAGCGCCCGTTGCTGCCTGTTGGTAAAAAGCAAGCAGAAACTGGCAACAAGCTCCTTTGTTTGTTTTGTCTTCCTGCTCTCTGAGCATGCGTCACTGGTGAGTCGTCCAGCCTGTGTTTTCCGATCTGCCCGTTGACTTGTTATGAGTTTCTCGTGTTTCATCTCTTTTGTATCGGATATTCCCGACCCCCTCCCCCCTGGCGACTCAAGATGTAAAAGTGTTCTGTCCATTCTGCCGAGCCTAAGCTGAAGACCGTGGAGCCATCTTGAAAAAATCTGTGCAGGAGGAGCGACGAAGAGAGGATGAGGCCATGAGGAGGCCTTGCTCAGAACGCTTGGACTGGGGATTGATATGGTAGCAGTAATCTGCAAGCGCATCCTGAATGATGCTTCCTCGTGATCCTTATTGTATTGCTACTGGTAACTTACAATTGTGTGCAGCAGCTGCCATGGGACAGAGGCCAAGCACCCGAATCAACCTGGCAAAGCCTTGACAAGTGGACCAACTTGGGCCGGAATGATGGAGAACATGACAAAGCCCTCCAGCCATGCGACAGGCTGGAAGAGGAAGTGCGACAAGCAGAAGAGGACCCGTCCAAGGCATTAGGTGTAACGGTGCAATATTTGTGTCTCGCGTCTCACAGTGGGGTGCTACGTTGCTGCTACATCAGGCGTTGCAGAAACGAGGTTTGGAAACTGTGACGCACCTGGTTGCCAAAGGGATGTGAGGAGACTCTGCCATTATTCAAGGACAACCACTCTCCCGTGCCACGTGTAAAGCCCTCACCACAAAAACCCCGGTCAAAAACCCAGAGGAAGCCCTGCGACTGGAGCAGCAGCAGCTTCGGGAGGCGGAGGAGACCCTCATAGTGTGTCGTATGTCGCAGGTATGCAAAAGGCAGCTTTTGAGATGTGGTTTACAGCATTGAAAGGGGGCTCTTCGCATGCTGCTGTCGACTTTTGAAGCGTACGTCGAAGTTCACACTAGGTCGCTAGCACGATGGACACACTGGAACCGGTTTCCAAAGTTTCAAGCGTCCCAAGTGTCCAAGGTATCCATCCTACTACAACAAAATCCCTTCCACAGCTCTTGAACCCGAAGCTCTTCCATTCTCCTTGGCACTCCACCACAGCGACTGCGCACTTTGGCCATGGACTTGGCCTTGGCGCTCACCAGCCCTCGGCGCCGGCCGCAAGTCGAGGCATGGGCTATGGGGCTACCGAGAAGAAGGGTCAGGATGTGTCAGGGTCAAACCGGGCCTCCGGGGTTATTCGGTTGTTCCCTGTTGTGCCGAGAAGCAGATGGGCCGTTTGCAAGGTGCAGTGGTGCTTGTACCGAGTGTGCTGTTGTCATGAGTTCCTGCGCCGAGGAGCATGCACCGCACAACTGCACCATAGGACCATAGAAAGGGAAAGTACCTGGCAGCATAGGCATATGTCGAGCTGGCCTAGTCATCCTTAAAATTGCCACTCGAAGCATGCGCCCCATGTCCGAACAGGAAGCGCTGGGGCTGCTGAAGTCCCTCAAAACGGGGGACCTTCCAAAGAAGGCGGCCTCCTTCTTTGCAAAAAAATTGCACCGTGAGTACGGCCAGGGTGACTCCGATGCTAATGGTTGTCTCCAAACCTGTCAGTTTTTGCAGCTGGTTGCTTTTTGAAGGCCCGAGTGCTGGTGACGTTGGTGCAGCAGCTGCTGCCACCCCTATGGGCCAAGGGCTTAGCTGCCACGAGCCCAAGGCTATCACGGCTCTGACCTCTGACTCATTTCTGAGCCTGACCGAGGCGCCACGAACACTCTCCGCTCAGCTCTGGCAGGGCATCCGACGCCCATTGGCGCTCGAGTGGGCGCAGGCCATGGGTCTTCTCAAATTGTTCCCTGCCGTGTTTCACTGGTACCTGATGCAAGCTCATGATGCCCAAGTCATGAGCAACGTCTTCCCCTTCGCCCCTTCAAAACTGCATGCTATTACAATTGTTAAGCCCTGCCCCCCTGGCCCAGCGACACTCTTCCAGAATCCTGTCAGGACAACGCTGGAAACTGCGACGCCAGCCTCGAGGACCCAGCATCACCGAGACTCTGCGGGGTATGTTGGGATCTCGAGTTGGGATCACGTGAGAAGCTAAGGCACGTTACTTGTCGCAGTTTAGCCGTTTAGCATGTATGTAACAAGGCAACATTCTAAGGCAGGTAGCACCTGCGCTTAGTATATGAGACCTCGAAGCTGCTCTCCGGAAAGAGGAGGGTACTGCGCGCTTCAAGGAGACGTAGGCTTAAAGGAAGGTTGTTGCCTTTGTTGCCCATTCCAGCTCTAGCCAACTTGAAGTGCCACTCTTGCAGGCCAACTGTGGCGAAACGGTGGCTGTGATGTGAAGCTTGAGATGTTTGCTTCGGGCGCAGATTGTGCACTTTCTTCCTGGATGCGGTCCAGGCTTCACCCTTTTGGACAACTTGAGGATCCCCAGACCGCCTGTAGAGGAAGGACGAGGACCTTTCTACGGCATCGTAGAAGGCCCGCACCTGGATGTTTGGTAGGTGCACCGTCGTGCGAGTGCGCGGATGCACGAGGGGCTTGGGCTCCTGCCCGGTGCAGATCTGGACACTGGACGCTGGAATTCGGGTGCGTTAAGAAGGTGGGACTGATTTTTGCGGTTGAAGGGCTTCAACCGACGTTCCACCACTCGGTTCTCTGGCCGTTGCTGGCCCCCAAAGAAGTGCGAGGGTGGAAAGGAGGCCCCAATGATTGTCAGACTTTAAGTTCCTGTTGCCATGAACCTGAAAGAATGATCACGGGTGCACCTACTGGATACTCCATGTCTTGCCTCCTGCCGACAGGAGCCCGCGCATCCAATCAGCAGATGGCATGTTGGTGAGCAGGTAGATCCTTGGCAAGAACCGGACAGGGCTTTGATGGGAAAGTGCGCAAGCTAGATCCACCTCTCAACTGGCTGCAGAGGATCGCCTCGTTGACGACTTTGCCAACATGTGGATTGGGGCTGTCATCCAGGCCCTGTAATGTTTCCCAACTTCTACACGCCAGCCTGTCCTCATCTGACCAGGCTGTTCACCCTGGTGACCTGTACGACATTGTTTACGTTGACACGGGCGCGGCTCTGAGAAAGGTAACAGTGAACTTGAGGATCCCCTTCTTCATGGCAACAGAGGTGAGGGATGTAAGGTTCACGAAGCTGTGGTCCCCGGGATGTCTACACAAACGTTGCTGCAATGGAACCTGTCTGCAACCTTGCCTACTGTAATTACATGGACGTAACCAGTCGCAGTCCTGAACAAGACAGAGCGAGGCAGCTAGAAACTCCATAGGCTTCTGGCAGGGTGATCACGGAAGTCGCTCGTAGGAGTGTCAAAGCACGCTACCCTAAACCAAAATCCCAATCCCTAAACCCTAAACCCTATAAACCCCAAACCCTAAACCCAAAACCACAACTTAAGCTTGCGCTCTGGGCATGTTTCGGTTGAGGTGCCTTGGAGTTGAACGTGGAGGCATGCCGTGTTGGCTTTGGGGGGTGTTTGGCTCCTGCAGTAGAACGTGGAAGTCTTAGAGCCTGCTGGCAGATTTGCGACGGGCGAAGGGCTGACCCAGTTCGCTCCATGTCCCGAAACAGCCCGTCATCCAGACAGCTCGGCATGTTTCCAGCCCACCGTTGCGCAAGCACGTTATGGTACGTTTCAGGGAACCCACCCCCATTACACGGATGGACCGGACTGTGCCCCCCCGTCCCGAAGCCCCAGAATCCAGAACCCTAGAATGCACGAACTTCTCCCTCTGACACGCCCCCGAAATGCCCAGAATGCAGCCCTTTGAGTCTCTGTAGGTGGGATCCTTCCAGCATCTAATGTCCGAAGTCCGAACCCAACTCCACACCCGAAAAAACGCCAACTCCCAAGCCCACCCTCAGCTTAGCCTAGGAAACCCTCAGGCCTCCCTCCCCCCCAAGAAAAACCTGGAGCCCCAACAACTAACTCCCCCCCCCCCCCCTTCCCAAAAAAAAAAGGCACCTGGTGCCCTAAGAACTAACAAACCCATCAAAACCCCAGCCTGAAGGCCGACGAGCTCCGACGTCGCTGTGTGCCGTGCCCACTAGGCCTCCAAGAAGTATGAAATCCGCCCTGTCGAGGGGTTCAGTAGGGCTCCGTCGGTTCTTTAGGTGGGGGTGGGGTACTGGTGAGGGAAATAGATCTGTCTGTGGGGTTTTGGGGAGCATGTCAACAACGGTTTAGTTGAAAAGGAAGGACAGCTTCTCTCTCCATGCTCTGAAAGACTGTGTAGGGGTCAGACAGTTGTCTTAGGGATTTGGAGGCTTGTTGGCCTTTCATGTCAAGGGTCTTGCTCCTTGATTCTGCCATGCTCCTTGATTCTGCCATGCTTTTGGAGGGTTTGTTTTGACCTTACGGGTAACCAAACGTTCAGACTAGGGCAAAGAAGGGTGGCTATAAACCTTTCACTGAAGACTTGCCATGCGCTGTTGCCTTTTCGCTTGTCGAAGCAACAAGGTGAATATATTTTGGAACGCTCCCGAACATACCCCAGTCAGCGCATGCTTTCCAACTGTGTGCCCCTCGCCCTTGCAGGAATGGAGCTCTGGGAGCTTTTGTGTAGTTTTGCCAGCAATGGCCCGGAACTTAAACACAACCGTGTGAAGGGTCGTTGATCCAACGCCGACTGCCCTGTGTCAGGAGATGTGCATTGTGCTGGGATTGAATGCGAAGAGTGGCGCTTAGGCACAGAGCTATGTGCCCTCAGCCGGGTGGAACGTGCCGCGCGGGCTGCCGCTGAGCGAGATGCCCAGGCCAGGGATAAGCTGGTCAGCAATGGCTGTGCATCGCTCTCTGCCGTCTTTGGTTGTGAAAATTTGCATGTTTGCATTGGCTTCAGACGTAAGGCAGAGTCAAAACATCATCGCATCATCGCAGGTATTGTGGAGTATCCTCTACCATAGCAACTTCGGGCGCTGCGGAAGCCGCTGCGGCTTGGAGAGACCCGGACAGGCCAAGAACTTGCCCAAGATCCGTTTTACTCAGCTCACCTTGCGAACCCCAAGTTCCAAAGCTCCAATGCAACAACCCAACTCAACAACCCAAACCACCACTTACAACCACTTACAATCGAAAATAGTGCAGGCCGACCTGATGCGGGCGCGGCCCGCTGCAGCCGCTTGCCGCGCCGTTTGTGCGGACCCGGCCCAAAGCCCGCTTCCCCGCCAGCGACTTCCCTGGAAGGAGCCAGTGCCTGGCACAGGCAGATGTACCGATAGCTGAGGGGCTTGCTTGTTACCAGATGGTGTAGAGTAAGGCATTGCTAGCCAGGGCGTAGGCAGCTTGAGAGTAGTTTTGTTCTTGCTTGGAGGACACGACGTCGGCAGCACACCAATCCCGCACCAAGAAGCCTTGTTGTTCTCACGCTTGGTGTAGGTTTGTTAGAATTTAGCTCAGCTATTCTGATTTGCCTGGGTCTCCAGCAATCCTCGCTTGGGACGCCGCAGAGAAGGCTGCAGAAGTGCATCTTCTTTAGGATGAGAATAAAGTTGTTCTCGCCCTGGTCGCGACCAGAAAGAACGAGAGCAAGACACATCTGCTAAGTGTGAAGGTCTGCACCAAATCCGAAAGTGCAACCGTAGGCCCGAAAAACCCCCACAAGGGGAACACCGCAGAAGTCCCAAGAAGCCCTAAACCCTAAACCCGAAACCCTAAACCCTAAACCCTAAAGCCTCGGCAGGAGAAGTATGCGGAGCGCTTCGCGGACCTGCGCCGCGAGCGCCTGCAGCAGAAGCTCCTCCTTCCAGGCCTCCTGAGCTTTCTGTTTGAGGCTCCTCTGCTTTGGGGTCTGGGATCAGAGGGTTTCGGGTTTCGGGTTTAGGGTTTATATGAGGGTTTAGGGTTTAGGGTTTGGGGTTTAGGCGGTTTGGGGTTTATAGGGTGTAGAGGGATACAGGGGCTTCGGGCTGAATCCGGTGGAGGCCAGACAGTCTTGGGATACCGTGTGCATACCCGAAACCCCCTCGAAACCCCGTTCGTTGGCCACTCCGTGCAGCCTGAGCCCTAGCTAACATCTAACCTTACAGCCCTCAAAACCTATAAACCCATATTCGTAAACCCGTGTAAACCCATATAAACACGTCTAAGCCCATATAAACTCATTTAAACCCATAGAAACCCTTACAAACCCTACAAACCCTGAACTGTCTTCCAGGCGCCCCCGTTGGCACCAAAGGCCGCAGCAGCCAGGACTTGGACGGCCGGCTCCGCTTCGGAAAGGCCGGGGGCCTTGATCCGAGGGAGCAAGAGGGAGCTGCTGGGTTCAGGGGCCTTTTAGGGCCCTTGAGGGATCTTCTGGAGCTGAGAACTTGGGCACGTATTGGGCCGGGAGGCACAGGAGCCTCGTAGTACATAAGGCTCCTGGGCCTTTGAGAGCCCAAGTGGGGCAAGCGCTGCTTGGAATCAGAATGTTCATCGTTCACCATCGGGTCCAAATGACTGCTGCTGGCTTCAACAGTAATCATTCTTCATGGCAGCTTGAAAGGATTCTGTTCTCCAGGCTACTCGTAGCGGTGACGCACTGTACGCAGGCTTTGCATACCAGAACTGCTTTCACGAACTGTCTCCTTTGGCACAGCAGCGAGATTCAAGCAACCTTGTATCAAGGACGCCCTTCGTGGCAGTGCCTTGGTGGCAACGAGTATGGTAGCTCAGTGTGACCAACTATAGTATGCATGAGAACCCGAAGCACACTTTGCACTCGAGCGCTTTTCAGGGCGAAGTCCAAGTCAGGTCAAAGCCTGAAAGCCTACAATGAGAATCGTGGCAAAGCGGAACCCAGGATCTACAAGTCGTTTCCGAAACTGTCGGTTCTGCGTCCTGGATGCCATGTTCTTTAAAGGGAGAGGCGGTCACCTCTCGTGTTGGAATCGGAGCGCAGAGAGCCCCAGTATAAGTGAGTAGCTAGCTAGCAAGGGCAAGTACGACATCCCCCACACTTCCACGTCAGACGGCATTTTTCTTGGCGTCGACTGATCTGGTGGCAAGTCCACAAGTATGAGCGGAGCCCGGGTGGGACTAGAGATGTGGTTGTCATCCATAGCTTCGGACCACACTGCTGAGACTGTACATGGATCACGAAGTACAGGAAGCTAGCTACCTTGCACACAGAGATGGCTATGCAACCGCGAAGCCGGCCACCAGCAGGGAGGACTTTACTTGGCGGGGCGCAGCCATCTCTGATGAAGTTCTTAGTCATCAGACGGCCAGCCTTCGCGAACAACACGCCCGCTGGGGACCTGGGGAAGAATGCACGAAAGCCACCACTTTCACGCTTTCCCATGACTATCACACTGTGGCACCATATCTACCACCAGTCTCTGCACCTACCGCGCTGTGATGCCATATTATGCCATATTCAAGCCCGATGACACAGTTGATCTCTTGACGCCGCCCAAAAAGAAGCGACGTGGGCCTGGAGCAGCATCGTCAGCCCCAGCGCCAAAGCGGACACTGGGATCAAGGCTACAAAAATTAGATTAGAGTTTGCCTTGGGGCCTGGGTCGAAGGCCTAACAGACACATGGCCCGGGTCGAAGGCCTAACAAGCATGATGGCCTGGGTCGAAGGCCATGACCCAGGCCATCGTGCGAGGTGAGCAAAAAATCATGAAGACATTCTTGACAAGCAAGTTGTTTAGTGGATATCTTGGGCTTGTATCTATGTTCTAGACAAAGATACTGACGGTTCTCAATATGATGTCATCCCTATCACGGTGCTAGATATCTCAGTGCGACCTTCTAGGAAGCCAGGCTTTCCGGATGCCTTCCTTGAGTCTACAGGGGCTCTTAGCAGTTACCATCCATGCTTCGGTTCCTTCTCTCAAGAAGAGTGGCGGACATGCCCGTGGCCTAAACACCCAGGTGTTTACGACCCGATGCTGGGGAAGATGGTCTCTGAGGATGGAGGTGAACATGGCAAAGTCTTCATCAGTCGGGGCCGGACGACATTTGCCCACTAGTGCCTCTGCAGCGAGTAGAGCTGTGTAGAGTGCTGCAGGCTCTACCAATGAAGAGAAATAGTTTCCAGAGTGCCAGCGGAGTATACCACAGTAAAACGACCTATTGTACAGGATACGCAGAACTGGAGTAGTCTTTCTACTTTACTGTAGAATACTACCATGTGAAATCAAGTGCATGAGTCTTTGTCAAAGTTACGCTGCTCAGAAGGCATGGTGGCCCAGTTGTACAAATCGGGAAGGTGTCTCCGCAGCAGAGTCGAAACTGACAACAAGTCCGCCACAGCAAGCTTGCTACCACATATTCTCACTCGAGACATCTTCGCCTTTCTTTTCCGCGACACTTCCGAATAGAACCATCATTCGTGCTACTGGTGCCTCCTTATCATCTCTTATCAGGTCTAAAACGGTTTCATGCGCGCTGATGCAGAGGAAGTGTTGCTTTAAGCTTGCACCGAGAGCACCCAGCGTTTTCTGGGTCAACGTGTGGCCTGGAGGGCAGGTGAGCGGGTTGGGAGATGGGGGCAAGGGGTTCAGGGTGTGTCCATGGTGCCCACGCGCCCCCTCAAGGCTCTTTCGTAGAAGCTTGAGAGTCGCAATTGAGCAGCAGGTCCTTGAAAGTCTTTTGACCCTTCAATCCTTCATACACGGCACTCCCCCTTCGCTTTGCACCGCTAGCTGTCAAAGCTCGCCAGACTTCCAGATCTAATCTGCAACTTAGTGGTGAGAGAACGATTCCAGTTTGCTGTTCGGTTGTAGCAGCTTAACCCCCGAGGCCCCATGGGTCAATATGCAACACGGATGCTTGCAGCTCTTTGCTTCGTAGACCTCAGGCCCAACGTACAAATTGAGTTAATAATGAAGGTGCCGAATTGCAATAAGCCCTAAACCCTATAAACCCTACAAACCCAAAAACGCCATTAACCCTTTCAAACCTATAAGCCCTATGTATGTAGGACCTTTAGGGTCTATGTGAGTATTCTCTTTCGGGTAGCAGTAGTAGCAGTAATTGCAGTACTAATAGTAGCAGTAGTACTACTTTACTAGTACTAGTGCTAGTAGTACTAGTACTAGTACTGGTAAAGGAACTAGTACGCGTACTAGTACTAGTAGTACTACTAGTACTACTAGTAGTACTAGTACTACTAGTACTAGTACTACTATTACTAGTACTAGGGCTCTGGTTGAAATGGAAAAGCCTTTTCCATTCCAACCATTTTTTCCGATTTTGAAATGGAAAAAAATGGTTGAAATGGAAAATCGGGCCTGGGGGGAAAAGCCCCAAGCAATTGAAATGGTTGAAATGGTTGAAATGGTTGAAATGGAAAAGGCTTTTCCATTTCAACCATTTTTTCCCATTTTGAAATGGCAAAAAAATGGTTGAAATGGAAAAGCCTTTTCCATTTCAACCATTTTTTTCCATTTCAAAATGGCAAAAAATGGTTGAAATGGAAAATCGGGCCTGGGGGGAAAATCCCCAAGCAATTGAAATGGTTGAAATGGTTGAAATGGTTGAAATGGTTGAAATGGAAAAGGCTTTTCCATTTCAACCATTTTTTCCCATTTTGAAATGGAAAAAATGGTTGAAATGGAAAAGCCTTTTCCATTTCAACCATTTTTTTCCATTTCAAAATGGCAAAAAATGGTTGAAATGGAAAATCGGGCCTGGGGGGAAAAGCCCCAAGCAATTGAAATGGTTGAAATGGGTGAAATGGAAAAGCCTTTTCCATTTCAACCATTTTTTACCATTTTGAAATGGGAGAAAATGGTTGAAATGGAAACAAAATGGGAAAAATGCTAAAAATGGAAAAGGCTTTTCCATTTCCATCATTTTTTACCATTTTGAAATGGAAAGAAATGGTTGAAATGGAAAAGCCTTTTCCATTTCAACCATTTCAACCATTTCAACCATTTCAACCATTTCAACCATTTCAATTGCTTGGGGCCTTTCCCCCAAGGCCCGATTCTCCATTTCAACCATTTTTTGCCATTTTGAAATGGAAAAAAATGGTTGAAATGGAAAAGGCTTTTCCATTTCAACCATTTTTTCCATTTCAAAATGGGAAAAAATGGTTGAAATGGAAAAGCCTTTTCCATTTCAACCATTTCAACCATTTCAACCATTTCAACCATTTCAATTGCTTGGGGCTTTTCCCCCCAGGCCCGATTTTCCATTTCAACCATTTTTTCCATTTTAAAATGGCAAAAAATGGTTGAAATGGAAAAGGCTTTTCCATTTCAACCATTTCAACCATTTCAACCATTTCAACCATTTCAATTGCTTGGGGCCTTTCCCCCAAGGCCCGATTCTCCATTTCAACCATTTTTTGCCATTTTGAAATGGAAAAAAATGGTTGAAATGGAAAAGGCTTTTCCATTTCAACCATTTTTTCCATTTCAAAATGGGAAAAAATGGTTGAAATGGAAAAGCCTTTTCCATTTCAACCATTTCAACCATTTCAACCATTTCAACCATTTCAACCATTTCAACCATTTCAACCGTTTCAACCATTTCAACCATTTCAATTGCTTGGGGCTTTTCCCCCCAGGCCCGATCATTTTTTCCATTTTACAATGGTAAAAAATGGTTGAAATGGAAAAGCCTTTTCCATTTCAACCATTTCAACCATTTCAACCATTTTAATTGCTTGGGGCTTTTCCCCCAAGGCCCGATTTCCATTTCAACCATTTTTTGCTATTTTAAAATGACAAAAAATGGTTGAAATGGAAACGCCCGGGCCTCCCCCCAATACTAAATTTCGAGCCCGGGCTCGTAATTTAGTATTGGGGGGAGGCCCGGGCTCGTAATTTAGTATTCGGGGGAGGCCCGGGCGCGTAATTTAGTATTGGGAGGGTGATTCGAATAGTTTGAATGGTTTGGGGACCCGGCCTGGGGCCTTTAGAGGCCCTCCTATCCCTTGCGATTCTTGGGGCTGCGGTGGGAATCAAAGGCGAATGAGGCCATCCTATCGCGCAGGTTTTTTTTTGGGCTGCGGAGCAAAGGCCCGGAGGCTTTCCTATCCCTTGGGATTTTTTGGGGCTGCGGTGGGAAGCAAAGGCCAAGAGGCCATCCTATCGCTTAGGACTTTTTGGGCTGCCGTGGGAAGCAAAGGCCCAGAGGCCCTCCTATTCCGGGGTTGCGGTGGGAAGCAAAGGCCCAGAGGCCCTCCTATCTGCCCTGGTCCCTAAGATTTTGGGTTCATTTTTGCTTCAAAAAGTCAAATCGCAAGCCCTGCTCCCTAAGAATTTTGGTTCATTTTTGCTCCCAAAAAGTCAAATCACAAGCCCTGGTCCCTAAGATTTTGGGTTCATTTTTGTTCCAAAGAGTCAAGTCGCAAGCCCTGGTCCCGAAGATTTTGGGTTCAATTTTTGCTCTCAAAAAAGTCAAATCGCAAGCCCTGGTCCCTAAGATTTTGGGTTCATTTGTGCTCTCAAAAAGTCAAATCGCAAGCCCTGGTCCCTAAGATTTTGGGTTCTTTTTGTTCCAAAGAGTCAAATCGCAAGCCCTGGTCCCGAAGATGTTGGGTTCAATTTTTGCTTCCAAAAAGTCAAATCCCAAGCCATGGTCCCCAAGATTTTGGGTTCATTCTTTGCGCCTAAGAGCCAACTCGCAAGCTCGCTCGCTCGTTCTCGTTCGCTCGCTCGTTCTCGCTCGCTCGCTCGCTCGTTCTCGCTCTCTCGCTCTCTCTCGTTCTCTCTCTCTCTCTCTCTCTCTCTCTCTCTCTCTCTCTCCCTTCTCGCTCTATCTCTCTTTCTCTCTGTTTTCTTCTATGGGCAGTAGAGTTTGAAGACGAGGAGCGTGAGCTACAACGAAAGAGATTTTCTGAAGCAGGCTTGGAGTGAGACAGGGCGAGGCATACAGAAGAGCATAAACCGTGGGACAGAGCGGGTCTCTTAGCTTCCCCCTTCTCAAGTCCGTCTCAGTTTTCTCTTTCGTGAAAAAGAAGGAGGAAAAGAGAAAAGAGTGAAGAGGAATTTACATGTTCTTCCTACCTTGTTCTTGCTTACGGCGCGGTTAGCGACCCCGCCGAAAAGGCGTGTTTTTCGGGTTTCGGGTTTAGGGATGCTACTTGGGAGGGGGGGGGATGGTTACGACACTTGGACTGCGTGCAGGGTTTCGGACGGGACTCTCTCTGCTCTGCAACCAGGCCCCCGGATCAGCCAATCTGCCCTAAACCCTGAACCCTAAACCCTAAACCCTAAATCCTGTTTCGGTTTGTTCGGTTTAAGATTTCGGGTTTTCGCTGAAACCGTCCTGCCTATATACCCTTAATACACAAGACAGTGTACGCCCCAAGCTCTCCTGTATGCAAACCTCAACAATGTCCTGCAAGCCCAAGTTCTAATTCGACTCTGTCGAATTTAGAGTTTATAGGGTTTAAGGTTCACGGTGAAGGCTTAAACCGTTATGCCCATGTACCCTAAACCATACACCATGCAAGCCCGAAGCTATAACACTGAACTAAACTGAACTGGCAAATTCGCTGTAAATACCAACATTTCCATACAAGCGGACAGCCTTGAACCCTTGCTTGTCTACTCGTCCAGAAACGTGTAACCTAAGGGCTTTCAAAAACAAACGTCTCACAAAACCTGTTTTAACATGCAAATTCGCTGTAAATACCAGTATTTCCACAAAAAAAGACTTCTCCAATAAAGCGACTTCTGAAAGTCGAAAAATCGTGGGTGCACGAAAACATTTACAGTGAATTCGGCCGAAATTATCAAAACCCTCGGAAAAATGGGGTTTTCCGACATGCGCTACTGAGCAACCACGCACAGAAACATCGACAAAACCGAGGTTTTACACTTCAACCCCCTCAAAACAAGGTGTTTTTTTGGCGGGTCGTTAACCGCGCTGTAACCTTGTTCTTGCCCCTCCCTCTTCTCTCCCCCCTGACCCTGTCTCTCTTTCTCCCTATCTCCTCATTTTTAAAAAGTGGTGCGGGAAGCCGGAATGAGATCAAGGCAGCGTCCCCCCCTGGAGGCACCTGCCCGCACAA